ACCCGCTCCCAATTCGGCTCCTGGGACTCAACCCTCGCCCTCAAACCCCTCTCTTCCGATATCCTAGCACTAGACTGGCTCTCCTACACCACCCTCGCCCTCGGCTCCCGTGACGGCTCCATCCGCCTCTACGACACCCGCTCCGGAGGATCCAGCCACATCCTATCGCACCCATACCCCATCTCCAAGCTCAAACGTGCAGACGACGCTTCCCGCCTCGTATGCTCCGGCCTCGAAGATTCGCTATGTCTCTATGACTTGCGATCCCCCCGCCAGTTACCAAAATCCAGTAACTATCATTACCAGAACTTTCCTAAACGCAGGAAATACACTCATGGAAATCGTAAGGCGGTGTCGACCCCGCTTCTCAACTTCGAACATGCGAATAGCGAGGAGCTCGATTTGGATATTGCGGTACATCCGCGATTGGGCTTACTGGCTGCGGCTCAGGATCTTGCGACTGGGACGGCGATTCGGGTTAGTAATTTGTATACAGGGAAGATGGTCAGGGAGATTAAGTGGGAGGGGAAGGGGAAGGGCGGGTGGGAGAGTATTCGGTCGTTGAAGTTTATGGAAGGAGAGGGAGAGGAGGGTGGAGGGGTGAAGTTGTGGTCGTGTTGGAATGGGGGGATTGGGGAGTTTAGTTGGTGATGGGGAGTGGTATGCTGGCGGGTGGGAAATATGGTTTGTGAAAGACTAGGCGATGTATCGTTACTAGTAGTATTGTAAGGCGATGTATGGAATCCCTTATGTAGGGTTACTCTGTAAACTAACTACCCACGAGACTATCTCGACGCGAAATCGAGACGAGCAAGATACGTGTACCTAGTATATCTCCCTCCTTCATATGTACTCATACAACATTCGTCGCCGTCCATCGATGTCACGCTGCTTTCTTACCTCCCCCCAAAAACGGTACTCTCGCCCCACCTCTCCCCAGCTTGGCCAGCGCATCTCCCAATACCTCACGAATCGTACTTTCTAGCCTCTTATCTTTCTTTCTCCGCATCCATAATAGCACTATGCCCAAAACAACCGCATCAACAACCACGTGCTTGAAGCACGCCCAGACCCATCGCCATATGCCTCTGAATAGCCGGTAATGCGCCGAATGTGCAAATAAGCGACGTGCTTCCAGTTGCTCCCGTAACGCGGCTACCTCAGCCGTCATCTTCATGAGGGATTGCTCGACACGCTTGCGCCATTTTTGGTCCGCGGCGGATTCCTTGGCTGCGTTGTTCGGGCCGGGGGTGCTGCCGAAGCCCGGGATGGGCATTTGTATGGGTTTCCCGAGGACAGCCATGCCTCTGGATTTTGGGGTGGGAGTCGGCGTCTGAATGGGGATAGGTTCTGCGCGCATGAGGTTCTGGAGGTCGGTTTGGACGCCGGCATCTTCTAGGTTGTCCTTGGCTTCGTCGTTCTCGTCTGGGTAGGAAGTCGGATTGTATTGCGAATCTGGGGCGTCGACAAAGACTTCACCACGGTCGATTTCCGCCTCTTCTTCTTCGAGATTTTCCTCGGATTGTGAAATCGGCGACGTGACTCGCAGCGGCATGTCTCGCACTGCTTCTCTTGTTGGTGTTTCGTCGTTCCGCCTGAGGGGCGCACTCATGTCCATGGCTGCGCGCCGACTCTCGCCCAACTCATGCTGCGAATAGCCAGACTGAATGTGGTCGGAGTGTCGCAAGGGCGAGGATGATGATGAGGAGGGCACGTTGGACTTGACTTGGTCCCAGACAAATTCCAGCTCGGCGACGAGTTCCCTCGAGTCTGGGGAGGGTGAGGCATATTTGTGCATGGTATCAATGAGGGTGGTGATGTAGCGGCGCTTTGCCTCTGTGCGCGAGAGTCCGTTTTGCTGTTTCCATGCATCCCTGGGAGTTGTTAGTTATGCGCTGATATCGGCCAAGAAGAATGCCATATGTCGTGTGCCCAACATACCACTTCTCTCGCGCTCGCTGGCTCTGGTCGTCGTTCCCTCGCGGACAGTCCATTATGCCGTCGACATCCCCCTCTGCAACGTGTTAGTCGTCATCGTCGTCGCTACCACACTTTCGATCGCAACGTACCCATGGCCTGCTTGTACAGTCCATACAGCCGCAGTCGTATCGCCGACGGCGGCTTCTGCGATCCGGTGCGAATCTTGTTGACGGTGTTGAGCGCATGGCTAAAGACTCTATCTGTGTTCCTCTATGTTAATGCGTCTGTATCTAAAACTTGAAGCGGGACAGATGCTTGCACATACCAACCGAGTCTGACATTGCTAGGGTGAATGGCGCGCCCCCACACGTGGGGAGCGTGGCATTGATCGGGAACAGGAGCTTGTACGGGCGTATCTGAGCACCGCATGCACAACTAAATTACCCGGGCCAAAGCAGCAGAGAATGTAGACAATATTGAGCGGTGGACGGCGGATGGGCGGCGAGCATGATGCGATGACATGCGGAGCCGGTAACGGTGTGGACATGGCATCGTTGTCGCGCGCATCCTTGGGGCCTCGGCTGCTTCGGCACGCGCTTGCCATGTGGCAGTCCAGGCGGGTCTGTCACGTGTCACCATGCACTAGTCCCCTTCAACGTGGACGTCACTTGTTTCAGTGATCAAGTAGGTGTCGGTATTACCACCCTTGCGCTCTCTACGTACTGTGTAAAAACTTTGTACATATCCTATTAGCCACATTTTTGACCCAACATAATTATTTGAGCACTTCCCATATCGCATTTCAAAGCTGTTTAGCACGTACATTGACAACATCCTTAAATGTGTGTTTGTCGTACTACCGGCGAGATGTGTGTCACTGCGAGATTGCTCTTTTTCTCAAGTAAGCCCGAAGACAATGTCGCATCTACCCCTGTGGTTGCTAGCCAAGTTTTTCTATATGGAGACGCTGGAAATAATAACTTGGCTCTTCTGTAGATCACTTTGCTTTTGATTTGTTATAGAGAGATACTAAGCTGATCTTAGCAATGCTAATAGAAGCTACCGTACATAGAGTATAGTGCTTACTTTCTATCCAGCCTATGTCACCCCATTGCTAGTGGCCCGCATACATGATTTTGACCTATCACCACAGTATATACACGATGATTATATATTTAAACCTAATACTCATCCGCTTCCTATTCCCTCGTCTAGATCGACTACGCATCCTCTCTTGCTTACACCTTCCTCTCCAACCAGGCGTTTGATCATTTCCATCATCGCGCTTTACGCTGCCCTCGCATCTGCTCAATGTAGCAGCCTAACCGGATGTACTGTTGCTGGACGTGCCTGCACCCAGACCTGTTTGGATCAGGGCACCCAACTATTTTACGAGAAATCTGGCAGATGTCAAAATTACAAAAGCTACTCTTTACTCGTAGATCTTGAATGTTTTCCTAATCATAATTTTTAGAAGTGAAAATGGTTTCAAATACATCTGAACAACATGACATTTTTAGCCGCAGATGACCTTGGAAAAACCGAATTTCTGCATTTGAGACTCCGGCAGCATAGCAATATGGAATTTCGGTCAGATAAACGCATCATTCATCTCAATGGTTGAGCCTGATCAGATAATCGTGAAAACGATGCAAATATCCAAAATCTTGACCCTGTCATTGATCACTATGCTCCTGAGATCTGATATCAAGTTGCTTTTGGTTTTTGTTGTGCCATTTTTCTCTCGCAAAGGTGTGTTCATATAACGATAGTCTGATCTAACAGTCAAAGATGAGCATTGGAGGTCGTGGGACTATCTTATAGCCAGAGTGTTACCCTAGACATAGAATAGACTAGTGATCTAATATGATATTCCAGCTATGCGCAATACAATTACATTACCAATTATGTATATTGATAGTGATGGATCATAGGCATATATCGACAACAAACAAACATCTTACTACAGCACTGATTAGACATATGTATCACCCGTGTAAGACAGTCACCCTCTTTGCCATCTCATGTCCCCATCTTTGAGAAGCCCTAGCGGCAAGTATGGTCATCCTCAAGGTTCGGCAGATCGATTCATCATAGTCTACTTCTGGCCCGTGCCGCGTCGGAAATTATTATCCGCTAATCGGATTCTTGCATTTCTTGGATTTTAAGTTTCGGCATGTTTCTAGTGCCGATACGGGCATCAATGTGCACAAGACTTGCTGCTTATTTCAAAAGTAAGCTCTAATGTAAGCTTACTTTGATGGACCTTGTTTTTTTCTCTAGGTATAATTAGGTATTGAAGACCCACCCTATAGTTCTGCTTGTATACTCTTGTACCTGCATACCTTGTCCAACCTTCCTTCGCACCGCTCTATCTGCAAACTTTGTTCTACCTTCTTTATAGCTCTGCGTTGAATCAAGGTGCGTTTTGTTGTTCCCACCATCGCTCTCTTCGTAGCCCTGGCGTCTGCTCAATGCCAAGTTATGGATCCATGTTACGAAAATTCCAATACCTGCATGAATTACTGCAGCGGCAGTAAGACTTATATGACGGGAACCTGTTCACGGGAAGTCTTTATGGAATTTTGGGAGTAATATTCTGACAAAGCAAGTAACGTGGCCAGCAACTAAACAGCTAGGGATTGAGGTATCATCAGAACCCAACGAACGAATTTATCTCCTCACTACCACATTGTTCCCACTATGCTATTTCTTGGTGATGGTCTCAATACGGACAAGCAAAAGTGTAAAGGATCGTTTGAGTTGACTATGAAGACTTTGTGTTACTGATGACAACTCGTAATCTTACCATCTGCCCGTAAACATGTCGCCTGTGCGGGGCAAGTAAGATTACCCAGTAATAACGTACCAAAGTTCTCGTGTTTAGACTCTCGGCGCCGCCTTGGCTCTTTGTGTGCTAATAATAGATTATATTTGCCTAAAGTAAGCTCATACGATGTGGTATGATGAACGCGTTTCCTGTATCTCCGCTGTGCATTTAGAATCGACTATTCTCCCCATTTTACTATTCCGGCCATCACAAGTCTTCCACTTCATTCACAGCGTACCGGACTTCAACCATGCGTTTCATCATCTCCATATTCGCGCTCTCTGCAGCTCTTGCATCTGCTATGGAGGTGGCTTCCGCACCTGCTACAGATGCATCTCCTGCACCTGTTGAACAGGTCTGCTCAGACTTCCTCAACCGCTGTACGCAAGATGGGGATCCATGCTCGACCTTCTGTCAAAATGCAGAGACAAAAGAGCTTATTTCCATATATGAGAAGTTTTGCCTCAAGTACGGTTATCCCCGGATGCGCATTAAGAAGCTCATATCCTAACAATATCCAGGGTCGGAGAAGAGTGGACTTGCAGTGGGGAACAGCCAAACCGCGGGACCTAGCAATACCAGATGTAACCCTGCGGGCGATCACTACGCAAACAGGTATTGAAAGAATGGTATCCCTGCTATAAAATTTATCCAGGGCTATGGTTTGGTAGAGTACACTGTATGTCATTGGTTAAGGTGACTGTTCTAATATCGCATCATACCACTATCAGAATGTAAACTTCCTCTCTGCTTACATATCTTGCCCATACAATGTGTACGACATGATCCACTGATTCGGGAATGACATGTTCCACGTTAACTTTCCGCACAACGCACCCTCCTAGTAGAACATATCCATGTTTTACAGATGTGTTGCGACATAAGCCCTGATGCAAAGTATTGTCGTATCGACCTTCCCCTTATCTGAATTTCGTCATGATCTTAGCGCACATCAATATCCCCCAAACTTACTATTTTGAAGTTAGACATGTGGGACTCTACGCAATGACGGGCTTCATGGTCCTGAAGATGCTAGTTTCCATATTGTAGCAATGTCTATTACGCCGAAACAATGTTGTAAAGACTTTGCTTAGGAATTAAGAGCTGTGGTTTTTTGTTGCGACTCAGTGCACAATTCAAAATGAACGGTAAAGTCGATACAGTGTAGCAGAATTGATGGTGGTGAAGTAGCCAAAGCGCTATCCCCTAACTGGCAAGGCTCAACGCCACAACATTCTTCGTTGTAGCCAGTAAGAGTCTAATAAAACCTCGATCCTATTACCATATCTCCTTTCTGAAGTCTTCCAACCAACTGGTCATTGGTAAACTCACAGTCGATCCGCATCACAAAACCCAAAGTCAATCAGCTCATAAGGAAGAGAAGATATATTCGTAGACCTAAGCTACCCGCCTTCCCAAAGTCCAGCAAATAGACTCCTCAAGTCCACATATCTCTTATGTAACCCGCAGCCTCCTTGAGGTGCATCATGAATCCACATTTCCGTATCACTTCCTCCTCAATGATACCCTATCAGAACCTACCATCATGATAATCCGCCAATCTCCCATCCTGAATCACTCATCTAGACCGGAGAGGACATGCAGTTGGCGTCTAGCACCTATCAGTGTAGCCGCAGGGAGTGCAGGCCTTGTTGAACTTGCGACAAGTGTCGAGGTTGCAAGTCTTAGAGCAGGCCATGGGATCGTACCAGCACCAAGTAGACTGTCATATCTCATTAGCATACCCTCATCCTTTTGAAGAAGTGGGAAAGGGAAGCAAACTTACACCCATGCACTTGCGGTAGAAATCGTCGCACTGGCGGCAGTCGCGGGCAGGAGTGGTGTTGATGGCCTCACCACCGGTGGACTCGGTGTTGCCAGTGACGTCGGCTGGCTTGGGCTCAGAGATGAGGGCGGGGACGTCGTTCGGGACTGCGAGAGGGCCCGTGAGAACGAAAGAAGCCATAGCGGCGAAGAAGATGGTGTTGAGCTTCATTTTTGATGAAGTTGGAAGTTGGAAGTTGAAGTAGTTAAGAAGGTTGAGGTTGTGTAGATCTTGAGTGTTTGATAGAGTTGAACGAATTGGTAGAGTTTGGGTTGAGGAGATGTTGGAGGGGTGGTGAGAGCGGTTTATATAGTATGGGGAGAGGTAGGAGTGGAGGGAGAGTTCTTTCACTTGCTTCGTGGGCGGGGGCATGTGTGGGAGGGGGTGACTGACGGAGTGAAGGTGGCTCTGGAATTTCAGGCAACAGTTGCAATGTGGGGGCGGGATCGGGGCCTGGATTTGCAGTGAAAGAGAAAGTCATGTGAGCGTTGAGAGCATGTGATAGCGGTGGAGAGGGTAAAGACATGTTCGCACAGTGTAGGTTCGGGGATGTCCGCGACTCTAGCAATTCGTTAGATTTCACAACATATTCTGGTAGCAGTAGGCTAGATTTGTATTGAGACTTGAAGTACGGATAATTCTACTTGTTTGGAAGATCTTATGACAGGAATTGGTACGGAGATGCACTCTTCAAAGTAGTCTTTGCAGGTCACACTTTTTTGTAGGGTGAGAGATCCGTTCCTCATGACTGAGTTAAGAATTAAGCGAGTGCGACAGAGAATTTGGGAGTCTAGAAGCTTGAGCAAGGCGGGGTAAATGACGACTTTGGAAAGGTTCGTGAGCATATGCGGTGAGAAAACCTTGTTGCAAACGCATCTTTTGACGTAACTACATATTGCGGAAAATAGGGCATTGATATTTGTTGTTGCAAGTCAAAATCACTAAATGAAGCAATGACAGAATCATAGGAAGAGAAGCGTAATTTTATGACATCGATTATATGTCCGATCCAGAAGAATCCACCATGTACTACTCCCCCTTCACCAGTCGTGAACAATGTTCCATAAACATTCATCAGTAGACTCGGTAAGCCGACAATCTCCAACCTTCATTCAGCCAATCATCTATATAAACTTGTCCATGGTATAAGTTCCGTCGATGTTTGCTAGACTGTTGAGTCCGAATGTCGAGAGGCGATTAGTCGAAAACTATACGATTTTATTGTTAGTCTCCAATCAAAGCCAAATCATTGTGACTATCACTTACCTTAGCAGTTCTTGTACTCGCAGCGCTCCTTGCAGACCTTGCTGACGCGGCAAGTATCGATAGCGCAAGTGGTAGGACAGGAGGCTCCACCAAACATACAGCTCTGCACAACACGTCAGCAAGTCCAATGAGAAAGAGAAGCTTTTCATGTTTGTTACTCACCCTCATGCATGCTTCGAAGTACCGCTTGCAATCATCGCAGCCTCGAGGCAAGGAGTCATTATCCCTAGCCGCGGCAAGAGAAGCAAGACCGATCAGGAAAATGGCAGAGAGCTTCATCTTGTCGTTTGGATGGGATGAGAGTTGAAATTTTGAGTAATCTAGTGGAGTTTGATAAATGAGTTGAGTGACTTGAACGCGTATTCGTGACTGTCGAAAGTGGTGGAGAGAGATTGGAGCAGCGGGTGAGGGGATATATATACATTGCAGACTGCAGACTGCAAAATCTAGGCCAGGGCGACTGGGGTGCCAAGAAATCAGATTAGGTAGGAGTGAAAGTCGCACTCTGACGTCGTTATGGCTTAACCGCCACTAGAGCACCTTTCACTCATTCACTCACAACGCCAGGGGTCGTGTCAAGGCAGCTACAATGTTGGGCTGTTGTATACAGAACAGGCACCCAATTACCCAAACAAAGACATGGAACGTAGAATCAAAAACGAAGACTGTGTTTTGTATAGCTTTAAGCGTCAATCCTCCTATCAAGTATGCATGTTATGGAAACAATGCCCATGATTGAATGCCAGCCCTCCCATGCATCTGCCATCCATGTAGCACTCTGATGATCAAACGACCACTTCCCTTTCCCCATTCTCCCCATATTGGCCCTTCTTGTTTACTACATTTGGTGACAACACTTGTAATAGCTTGGATTTTGAGAGTAACAATCGTTTTCCTTGTCCTCATCATTGTGCTTGTCCACGTCCTATACATCTATTTTCTTTCGACACTCGGGCATCGCGTGTTCGCAGTCTTTGTGCAAACAGTCCGGGTTGTACATGCATGTGCGGATCTGGCATTGGGGCCAACACACATCACGTCCCGCGTCACATACCTATCGCAAACGAGTCCATTAGCATATAATCCATCAAAAGACCAATGCTGCAGCGTGACCCAAGACCTGGCAAAGACCTACCTGCATGCAGTCCTTTGCGTCGGACAGGCACGGCATACAGTTTAATTGCTTAACTTTCTTATCATAGTGAAAGATAATGGCAACCAGCACTATAAAGAGCTTTCTCATGGTTGTAGTGTCGAGGTTATTGAGTCTGGAAGATGATTAGATATGACGATTGATGAGATTGGGACGTATCAGCTAGACAAGTCGGAAACTAGAAGAATGTGAGAAGACGTGTTCAACTGAACCAACATGGAGGGCGTGGGGTAGGAGTTGCGGTAGCGAATTCAGGCCAGGCAGAAGCAGTGGGACAACTGACGTATGAGCACAATACCCTGCCACACTCACTTCCAAGGGATACTCTCGTCAGCCCCTGAACGGTATTAACAAATCATTTAGCAAAATTGAAATCAGACAACGTAACATGGCGAGATGCATAAATCTTCAGATTCATCTTGCTGCTTGGGTGGTCGTTTGATATGGATAGTACGTAAGCCATCTCCACACTAATACACACACGGCCGAATTCTTTGCTCGGATAACCAAACAGCCTTTTCCTACCAACTACTCAAAGCTTCATATCTCCACGCACACTCGACCGCCGAACTTCGCTCGACCCCCGATGCGAGAGCTGCTCCATATCGTCCTTTGAGGCCCGCGCCGTCGCATGCGTCAGTTGATCCTTCAGAGCCGCAAAGTTCTTCTCCGCCTCCCAATTCCAGATGCTATCCGATGCAAAGAGAAGATCAATTTCTTCCAGTGTACGTTGATTCGTTTCCGGGTACAGTGCCCAAATCATGGGAATCGTGATGGCGTTGCATGCAGCGAAGATGTAAAGTGTCTTCTCGCCTAACGCATTGAACATGACCGGGCAGAGCAGAGTCAGCCAGCCATTGCCAATCGACCAACCAACAACACCCCACGCGTTACCTTTGGCTCGAACCTCCAATGGAAAGATCTCTGCAGGGTAAAGCCAAGGAACCGTTAGCCATGTGGCGCCGAATATGGCTGTGAAGAGAAAGACCATGGACACTGCAGCATTTCCATACGAAGATGCCTTTCCCAACTCGCCGTTCTTTGTCGCTTCTTGACCGAGATACGAGAATCCGCCTGCCAGCGCCATTGCGATTCCCTGTCCTACCGAGCCCCAGTAGCAAGTCCAGCGACGCCCGATCCGATCAAGGGTAAAGACGCAGATGAGCGTTGCGAACATGTAGAAGATGTTGTTGAGACCAGCGATCCACTGGCGCTTTTCTGGACTCATACCCGCGATTCCAAAGATTGTTGGCGCGTATACTGTGACACCTGCGATACCGATCCACTCCTGCATAATCTGGAACCAGACAACAAGCTGAACGCGGCGGCCAGTATGTAGTTTTCCAGAGCCAATACCGAAAAGCATGTGAAAGTAGCTTTGCTTGCGGAAGTTGGAGCGCTCGAGTTCGCACGACGAAACAATGTCTTGGAATTCCGCTTCGGCCCTGACCTTGTCTTCTCCCGTGTCGCCTCGAAGACGAGCCAAAACGTAACGCCCTTCGGCTTCTCGTCCGACCTTGACTAGCCATCGCGGGGATTCGGGGAAGAATAAGACGCCAGCCATGAGGATGATGAGCATAGGGATCTGGAAGGCGATGGGAAAGCGCCAGATGAACGAGGAGGTCCCGTCGCCATAGAATGAGCACCCATATTCTAGCCAGTAGGCAATGACCACACCGAGGATATTCAGCGTGAACTCGATGGCGATGAATTGACCTCGGGACGTATGCTCTGCTGTCTCGGTTGCCCAGACAGGAATGATAGAGTTCAGGATACCAGTTCCCCAGCCGTTGACCAGACGCGCGCAAATCATCCAAATATGATTCATAGCGGAGCACTGCAATGCAGCGCCAACTGTTCCAATAGCAGCTCCAACGAATATGGTCTTGATACGTCCGAACCTATCGCCAATCGAACCACCGACTAGACACCCAACCAGTGTCCCTAAATAATACACAGATACGATGCCTCCTTGAAGGAGAGTGTCGTCGACGACGGGGCCGCCATCAGGACCTTTGTGACCAAATCCCATGAGCGTATAGTAGTCGTATGCCGTGTTGACACCGCCCATCATACCCTGGTCGTACCCAAAAAACAGGATCGAAAGACCAGCGATACAATTGATCCTTGGAACACGGGTAAGCAACCATATAGAAATCCTGAGGGAAATGTAACTTACGCTATGAGCAAGCTTCGCTTCTCATAGCGATGCACAACATTGAGCCTGTGAATCTTATCCATGACTAAGCCGAGGGGGGGGGGGGGAGTATATGGCCCCAGTATGAATCGAGTCCGCGCAAGAGCAAAAAAAAAAGGATATCATGCAACTATATATTATATCCTGCACGGATCCAACATACCTCATCTCATCGGTACCATGGCCGAAGGAAAACAAGCAGCCGTGCTAGTCAAGTCCATCCGCATCGCAAACCCACTTTTTATTCAAACGGCGGGGAACACTCTCCACTCCCATGGGGCCCCAACCGCAGCATCGCGCATGCTGACTGGATCACTGCGATGCTACGATGCCCACACGCATGGCCCTGCGCCTGCGCCCGATCGTGTGACTGGGTTACACCCCTTAGCTCTGCTTTTTTCTTCTGAAATTTTGCAACTATGGTTTAAAGGGAGATGCGCAATTACCGGATTGGGTAATCCGGGCGGCAAGGACAAGAGACGCGAAGCTTGGGGTTGGCGAAAGCTTCGTACGTAGCATTGAGGTGTTTGACGACGACGTCTGCTTTTGTTTTCTACTGGGGCAAACAATGTCATGCAACTGTTTTAAGGATGTTGTAGCCGCCATCCTTCTGCATCATAATGCATTAAATTCCTCATGCACATGTGTTGTTTCCTTGTCAGCAACAGCGATGGGACGGTGATGTCACCGGCGTGCAGGGTTTATCTTGGATCGGAGAGAATAACGGCGAGACCCGCTGGGGATCGGCATTCATTATCCCAGTTGCCGACACGTAAGACTCGAGACGAGGCTGCATGTGATGAAGAACAATCTAATAGTCCCTAACTTCTTGTTTCCACACTATAGTACGCTGATTATTACACAAACAATTTCAGTTCCCAGCCTCAGCGGCCCCCTTACCCTCTGCACTAACCTTCTCACAATACTTCTTCAAATCCCCACACCAAAGCCTCACCTTCTCCTGCAACGTCTCCATCATAAACAGCTTCACAAGCCTCGCCACCATGCCCCCCATCAACTCCCAATTCCTCACCTCACACGTGTCATCCCCCGTAACAATGACCTCGTGAAACCGCTCAATCTGGGGCATCAACCCCATCCTTCCCCCATTACTCGTCCACGCAACCCGATACACCTTGCTCAGATCAGCCGTGAAACTCGGATCCGCCAGCTCTTCGGCTGAAAGATACGACGATGGCGCATCAGGCGTCGAGATATCCGAGACTTTGAGGTAGGTATGCGTGATGGAATCGGGCTTCGAGGCGTCCATGATTACGTTGAAGTCCATTTCGGTGCCGACGCGTAGGTGGGACTCATCATCTTCTTTTGTGCTGTTGGTAGCCCCCGAGCTAGTAGAAGGAGGATGAGAAATGTCTGCACGCGGTACCCACGTGTTCCAAGCAGACCAGTTTCCGGTGCGGAGGAGGGTGTCGAAGACGAGATGGGCGGGCGCATGCACGGGGGTTGAGTAGGAGAGCTCGACGATTGCTTTTTCGCGCGGGATAACTTTGGTGGTGAGACCGTTGGCGGGCGGCCAGGTTTTTTCGTCTGCCATGGTTTGGTTTATTGATTTCTGGAAATAAGAGCGAAGGCGGTTTTGTTGATGTTGTGCTCGTGTATTACCGGTGGCGCAATGCGGGGACGGCGAGTTGAGTATGGGGTGTTATCGATAAGATGAGCACGTATCCTTGACAAGCGCCACCATTGAATTCGCGCATAAATACAGTTTTTAGTTCATTTACTGTATTGCAATGTCACGTGATTAGACTGTGGGTATATACTGTGATTTCTTTTTGTATAGAGATAGCTACCTTCCCCAATCAGCCCTTTGGCAGCGATTTAATTTAGGCTTTGTTCTACCAGCTCGATTGCGGGTCGCCTCTTGATCTTTTTGAGCTCGATCACGTATCGTGTCACAATATATCATAGGGCAAGAACCTAGTAACAGAAATCTACATCTAAACTCTATGTAATGATAGTAACAATCAGTAAATCTTTTTCACTACGTAATCGAAGACCTATCAAATCTGACAATACTACTGTACAAAGTCAAGCTCAGCGTGTTCGCCTCCGACAAAGAAGAGCATAGTGTTGAACGTGCTACGGGCTAGTTACTCTTGATAGCTCTGCTCTTTATACCATGCACTTTTGGATACATTCCCCATATGTAAACGTCGCGAATGTTAAACATCCACTAAGCGCAAAACCTGCCGCCAGCGTTAGCCCCCCTTCCAGTAGCTGCTGATGCGGCGAGCGCCGCTCCTGAACATATCAATGTTGACCCTGCCCACTTCCCACCACACCAGAACGCGCACCACGTGCATTGTCTCTGAGTCTTTCTGTTACATTGTATCAATCTACAGCGATGAGCATCGCGCGTCGCCATATCGGATACGATAAATGAATAGATTTGCGCCCGCGCCTTTGCATCGTGCGCCCCAATTTCACGCTTAGCCATGCCGGTAGGTATTTGCTGAATATAGGCTTCGAGTCCGCTTTCTATGTTTTTGAAGAAACTCCAGCTTGATGCCGTCTGTCCATTCACTAGTGTTATAACCAATGCCCTTGATTAGATGCATCCAAGGCTCTATATTGATAGTGCTCAAATTCGTCGCCGTGAGTAGAGCAATGACATCGCTCTCTGACACCCCGAAAGTATCCGCCACAGACGCAAGGGTAGCGTTCGATAGAGCACCATTCCATAGCGCAAGTTCCGTAGATAACGCCATCGTAACAAAAAGTAGAATAGACCAAATCTGTGGCGTATACATTTTGATCTAGATGATAGCTTGGAGGTGGTTGAAGATAAAGATGATAGATAAGATTGTAAAGCAGAGCTGTAGAGGTACCATACTTCTGTAACATCACGATTCCTTTTATATTTACGAGATCTATAACCTGTACTTTTATTAGTTTGTTTTTTCAAATGAACTTATCTGTAAACTAACTATAACTAAGAGAGGCACTTTGCTCTTTTGGGTATATAATAAGCATTGTATCAACATAATAATACTTGATATTTGTATCATTCTACATCTATGTACTTTATAAATAAGAAGGTTTAATAAAGAAGAGATCATATAGTAAGCAACATGTCGTGGTATAAGCCCGTGAGGTGCAGATAACGGGCGGTCATCTCATTGAGTATTACCCACGCGAGAATATCAGCAGCTCTAATATTCTTGTGCTAGCCTTTTTGGCACGCTGGGCAGGTTATAATTTTCTATGCAGTCTGATCGGATCTAGCCGTTACATAACATAATTGCCTCTGAATAAAGATAGATAGTAAGCAGGAATAAATTCAATTATGTATATAAGACGGAAAGTATCATCTTCTAGTGTCTATCCACAAAGTATTTTTAAGACGAGAATACTATATTTCGAATTTTCTAATCATATTATTAGAAACTCTATGTAATATATACACCCAAGATTATCATAGGTAGTAACTCGGCCTTTTTTAGTCTTTCTATTACGTGTAGCTAGAACTTTATAGTTCGAACTGTGTCGCTGATATTATAGTCCTAGTATATGTACATAACCCTTTCTTTTATTTAAACATATCAAGTGGCCTGTTATTAATTCATATATCAATGCATTGTATAATTACAATTTACTTCGGAAGTTATATCCACGGTTTTCTATTTATCAATATTAGTTATCGTACCACCCAAAAGGAGAGTATACGAAGTGCTCATCTTTACCTCTTTGTAAGCTGTTTATTCAATAAAACCGTATTTACCTTGGCCCAATAACATAATAAAGTGGTCCTACTGTTGCTAGCGCAATGGGGCTATGCAACTGCGCCTCCATGAATAATCCTCAAACTCAAATTGCAACCAACAATTATCCTCGAAACAATGATTGTATTTTAAGCAACAACCTCGATGCTGTAAGCAAAAGATTTGATTTCTATCAAGAACGACGTCTAACTTATTTTAGTGTATTCTTGGCAAAGCTCTCGGTCCAGACGAATGTGCCAATTTGTATAAGCATTGGGACGATCATGGCAACCTAGTGCCTAACTATGATTGGCAACCTAATTGTATACCTTGGACTGTGGCATCCCCTCCTCAATCGGAGTCCAATTAGAGTTCGAGCTAGAGCTTCCTCTACAATGTCGTAGAGTCAGATTTAGGAATAATTAATTCAATTAATTTGGCACTTCTAGATCAGATTGTTTAATTCGTAGATACCTATAGACTGAATATACTGTTGTAAAGGATTGGTAAGAAATTCGGCCAACTTTGAATGCCCTTTTGAAACATCAGGTCGTGTAGCAGTTGCGACATAGCCGATTGACAAGATAGCCTGTAGTGACCTACGTCTCTGGAGCAAGATAGCGTGGTATATTTGAAGTGCTTAGGATGGATCGTAAGCAGCTAATCAGAGTCCTTCCTAATATTTCTGCAGACCTATTCTACTCTTTCGTATGTGGAGCTCTGATTTAGGATCTGATTCCTTTCTACTAGTAGTATACTCGCACTGAGTCGCCTATGAGTCTCTAGCCTTATTCATCGCCGGCTATCATAAGTGTGACGGTTGTATCAAACCCTCGTCTAACCGTACGATCTAGGCGAGTAATCACTTCAAGCATAGTTGTCTTATTGCTTTTTGGAATAGAATATACGAAGTTGACCTTCGTATATCGGTCAAAGGCATGAAATGTATATCGATGTCTATTGTACATCAGACTAAACTTATAACTATAAGGAACAAAACGCCCCTATATCGCGTTTCATCTTCGAAAATCTCGACCTACCATATCCACCCCTTCGGCCCACCCCACCGTCCCTTGACATGAAAGCGATCGTACACCCACGGAAAGAAATCCTTCTTAAGATGGTAAAACGCGCGCCGCGGCACCGCTTGATCGACCCCAAACCAACCCTCAAACGTCTCCTTAGGCACGCCACCGTACTTGAATTCAGCTAAGAGAACTTTCTTATCACCCGTCAGCAGCGGACACGATGTGTACCCGTCGTACTCCTCGCTTGCATCTTTACCCTCGAGACTGCGTAAGATGTTTTGTGTGAGAACTAGGGCTTGTGATGTTATCGCTGCGACGGTCTTAGAGGTGGGCAGGTTTGCGGCGTCGCCGATGGACCAGATGTTTGGGTATTTTTTGTGGCGGAGGGAGTGCGGGTCCACGTCTACGTATCCGGTTTCGTTGCTTAGTGGACTAGCTCTGACAAATTCGTGGGGGACGTTTTTCGGGGCGACGTGCAAGAAGGAGAAGGGAAGGTGGACTTTGGCTTGGCTGCTTGGACGAGCGAATGTTGCGGTGTTGCCGGAAATGGAGATGAGATCGTGCTCGAATAAGCCTTCGACGCCGCGTTCTTCGCGCAAAGCATCGAGTTTGGCGTTGTATTTTGGGACGCCGAACATGCTAGGCAGGCCGGTAGCAAAAGTGACGTTGATTGCGGAGTTTTTTTGGTCGTTTTGGTACAGGCCAGATCGTCTCCAGTGGTCTAGTGCGAGCCACATGATCTTTTGCGGTGCACCAGCGCATTTGATCACACCCGCTGGTTGGGTGAAGATAGCGGAGCCTGATTTTAATCGTTGGATGTTTTGGAAGACTTTGTCGCAGTAGTCGTAGCTGTAGATGGATGCGACGGAACTATTTGGGTTGCTCATTGCTTCAGACAAGCCGTTGACGCTGCCATAGTCAATCTTGATGCCTGGTGCAACCACAAGGTGGTCGTAATGGATCATATCACCACTTTCTAGTGTCAAAAAATTGTTGTTTGGGCTGAATGACGCAACGCTCTTGTTATAGAGTTTCAGTTTCCCGTCCACCAAGTCATTCATTGGTGTCCTTAAAGCTTTCTTGTCTTTCAACCCTCCTCCAACAAGTGTCCAACCAGGCTGATAATGGTGCCATTGTGCGGGATCGATGACTGCAATGTCGTCTTTTGCAAATTTGCCTTTTCGCAATAGCTGATGACTGACTGCAACACCAGCGGAGCCGTTTCCAACAACGACAATCTTGTGGTTCCTGGCTGCAGGGGCTGCGGGCGAAACCGTCACAAGATTTCGAATAGCTGCAAGTCTTCTGAAAGATTCCCAGCATCTGGCTTTTCGTAAACAGTTCATTGCAATCAATCACTGTATACTCTCAGATTTTGTATTGTTGGCGCCAAGAAATCGATGCTACAACGAGAAAGTTATGTTGGATGGTTTGGAGTCGCTAATGAAAAGGGAAACTCAAGCGAAGAACCTGGAAGGGAATTCATGTTTTTCAGCAGCTTCGAGTTATTATTATTTCGTGTCAAGTTTGAATCAGCAGATTAATGCGTCATGGCACGAGCTGGGTACGTAAGGATGTAGACCCTGTTTCGGCGACTAACACGGGTGATCGGCGTCTACACATAAGAGCGGAACGCCGAACCCTGCATCAAGGTTAGCCGTCGAGGCATCTAGAGGCTCATAAGACAGGACATTTCCAAATGTCCTTGGGAAGAATCATCTTAACTACACACAATCTCCTTACCGAAACCATTTCAAGTGATGAAAACTTTGAGATTCTACAACAAACCCCTACTTTCTACCCCGCTCTCGAACCGATTACCACATTGCGTACCCAAGCACCGAGCTATAATCCACAACCATCGCCTATTGCATCAGCGGAATCTTTCCAAATCTTCTTTCACAGCACATTGCTCAATCGGCAAGACGAAGCCCATTACTTCAACGATTCGAAACATGTCCGTCGTAGCCACTCCAACAGACCAATTCTTTCTATTCTCAAAATCTGGAGAACAAGTGATTCACAACAGCATGACTGCAACATCTCATGAGCCTGCTATCCACAGTTGCTTTGAAGAAAAAACGGGTACATGGCAATACATAGTCGCCGACCCATCTACGAACAAAGCCATCATCATCGACGCTGTCCTAGACTACGACGCGAACTCCAGAACCGTTAGCACATCAACTGCCGACAATCTACTCGCCATCATATTTCGCCAGGGGTATCAAGTCGAGAGGATTCTTGAGACGCATGCACATGCCGATCATCTCACAGCTGCCTCTTATCTACAAAGCCGACTTTTGCAAATCCAAGGAATCAGGCCGCCGATTTGTATTGGGAAGCGTATCCATCAAGTTCAACAGTTGTTTGCTGCCAAATACGGAATTCCGACCGACGAGTACGAAAACGCGTTTGACCATCTTTTCGAAGACGATGAGTCGTTTGCTGTAGGGCAGCTGACGGTAAACGTCATGCATCTTCCAGGACACACCCCTGATCACCTGGGATACCAAATCTCGAGTAAGTAGACGAATGAGGATCTGGAGTAAGAACATTCATGCTGATCGATGAGCAGAAAACGTCTTTTGTGGGGACTCCATCTTCCATGCAGACATTGGCACAGCGCGGTGCGACTTTCCTGGGGGCAGTGCAAAGGACCTGTACACGTCGGCAAAGAAATTGCTTAGTCTACCGGAAGACTTCAAGATCTGGACTGGCCATGATTACCCAGCATGTCCTGCACGGTGCGAAGCCGTTCCCTGGATGACGGTTGGTGATCATCGGGAGAGAAACAAGCATGTCTCTATTGATGTTGCAGAGGAGGACTTTCTCACGCTGAGACGGAAGCGTGATGCAGGGCTGGCTGCGCCAAAGCTATTGGACCCTTCGTTGCAGGTGAACATCCGAGCTGGTAGGCTACCTCGGCCAACACCTGGTGGTGAGCGTTTGGTATCTCTACCGATCCAGATGCTATGCGACGCATGGTAGTCTCTCTTTGTCCAGGGATGCAGGAAAAGAGCAACATGCAACCAGCAGCATGCAAGTTTTATAGCAATGTTTTCATCCTGATTCGGTTCGCCGATCAGTTTCATGCGTTAATAGAGAAATTATTATCAAATCTCGTAATTCTGGAGTAGCGCTACGTGTTCACAGAGCAATTGTCTATGCCCATGAGATCATACAGGTTGTGTAAATCGATGTCGTCAAATTGACCTCTTTCAACCGGTATGCTTGCAAGAGAAGTTACATTATTTTCTGGTGAATGTCCATGGTGCGGAGTAATCGAGGGCATATGACATGGCGCTTGGAATACTGCACTTGCCACCTTTTTCAGTGTGCACATTACGCTGTCAGCAACTGGCCAATGTCGACCCAATGTCTTGCATACACCAAGCAGTAATTTGACTCGATCAGAATGTTGTTCTATGCAATTTCCCACAGTCCTCGCATGTACTGCACTGATGGATAACTGCACTACCGTAGCCAGAGCAAGAGGATACACGAAAAGGGGGCTGTGCTTGTGGGCAGGAGCTTGTAGGGCGGCTAGCATTGATATAGCTCTGGACGCCTCCACAGCTTTGACTGAGTGTACGTGTTGACGATTGCAAGGGCATAGAAGCTTGGTGCAATCGGCACCAGGCACATTTTGTGTGAGGGAGTTGGGAGTGACGAGATCACCTCTGGGATAGTGCAAAAGAATGATTCCCCACTGAATGATGGTATGAGCCTGGAACATGAGCTCGTCCAACTCACCAAAAGTGTTGGCAATTTGGTTCTCGCTCTTAGTACGTGGGAGATGGTGGATGAAAGCAGCCAGGGAATTATCGACTGCTTGAACGAGGTCTCTGTGAACACCATGTGTTCCAGCAATTGTCAAAACTCGCCCAAGAAGACGCGTTGCTTCGATGCGATAGCAAAATGAAGAAAAGGTCTTTTCTTCTTCTGCAAAGACGTTGTTGTGAAACTCGGCTAGTGTTGGCGGGACGAAGCACATTCCGCCCTCGTAGATGAAGTTTTCGCACGGCAAAAGCACGTCTGCGTTTGCCATGTTGGTCTCGAAAGTTGACTTGCGCTGTAATGCGGCAACGCAGCCATCAACAACGTAGAGCTCGTACCAAGTCCGTCGCATGCTTTCTTCGAGGGTTGTTGATCCCGCAGCATACATTGCAGCAAAGTCGCGATTGTGCATGCCAAGGGTCAAAGCATTCTGGATAGCGGAATCGAGCAGACTTTGGCCTTCCTCTGCGGCATTCTGGGCGAAGAGAGCTACTGAGTAGAGTAGTTTTGCTTGCACAACCTCGGGGGTAGGCTGGCACGCATCGCCAAGTTCTCGCGTGGCGCGTTGACGCAGCTCGGTTCTCGGAGCTGACGAGGAAAAACAGCTGCCGATGTAGTGAACGACGGCCTTGAGGCATTGAGGGTAGGCCTGCTCCCAGTACAGGTGTCTTGGCAGGAGGACTGGATGGGCTGCGTGGAAATTCAGATAGTAGAGGTCGACCAGATGCTCATCATCGGACCAAGCTGGGGGCGGCCCGCTTTGCAGTAGTAGCGGGTCCGATGGACTCCCAGTACCGAGAGACGGCCGTTGGAAACGTGGGGGCGTCTCATTGAGTGTGGGCGCATTCGCAGTGAGGAAAAGATGTGGTGTTGTGGATGAAGAGTAGGGCGGTTGTTCGGCTATCACGGGCTGCTGCTCATCGACTGGCGGCGTCAAGCGCGTAACACCACGTCGCCGCCCACGTCCGGAACGCTTGTAGGTGCAAGCATAGTTGCGAGTCTGGCAGCGCTCGCAGGTGGGTCTGCCGCCATCGCACTTGAGATGGGAGCGACGGCACTCCAAACAAGCGAGTGGGGCTGGCCGGGCGTGTGGTGTGGGCGCCGGGGAGGGCATATGGAACGTAGCCTATGATTGTAAGCTATGTATATGAAGCGAAATGTCGTGATTGAGAGTGCAACGTAAAACGAAGACGCCGAAAGAGCCAGAGGGAAGCATTCGTGGCATGGCCCTGCGCTAGCCGCCTTGGTGTCGTCCGCAGAGTCGCCGAAGTAAGCAACCTTCGCCGACTTGTGTACTGGCCCAGCGTCACATAACCCCGACCCTTTGACTACTATTCTATCGTATATCCTAGCAAGCTGGCCATTCTGCAAGTCTCTTGATTCCAGATCACGTCAGCTTGTTGGAAGAGAAATGCAGCAGCGTCATCATCATTTGCGCATTACGACTAACTTAGCTCAGTTTCTTCGTCGCATTGTGCAAAATGACATCTCCTGACCCCTTTTCACTTTCATATCGATGGCAATGAGCTGTCGTTATAGATTGACAACGATGCATGGCTATACTAGAATCAAACTACCAAGCCCGGGTACCATGGTAAAGCCCGTGCACGACACGTCTACTTACTTGTTATTAGTGACTATTCAAACTTTGTTTCGATTGAAGGTCAAGCTAAGAAGAGGGTAGTCGCTCAAGGTTTTAGTGCTCAGGAATGCGGTAGTGGTGTAAAAACATACTCAAAGTCTATGATGAACAAGCTGACTTTGTTCATCGAACATAACCTTCAGCGTTTTGATTCAATCTTAGATGTTGAGCATGAGGCTGATAGTCGGCATCTTAATCTCTCATGTCAATGGAATTACCTTCATGTTCATCCAAATTCAGCTTGGGAAGGTAGCGGAGATAAATAATCACATGTAAAGATCTTCTAATCTCGTGCAGTCGTGTAGTACCAGACGAGAAATACCTATTTGATTTGTAGAGCGAACATAACGAAATACGCAATGATCGCTGACGAGACCTTCTACCAAAAGGCTGCAACAGTCAATCGCGAAGGCAGCCGCAGCAATACTCACACTTTACCGCAGCATGTGGCAAAGCATGTGGATTTGTCGGAATCTCAAACGATACATCACCATCCTATTTTCTGTTCATAGTCTTTATATAATGTTGGTCCTATTCACCACAATATCAACCTATGAATTACCCATCAGCCTCCAATGTGTGCGCATCATGTGACGTCGGCGCAAATACTATATTCTCTCTCTTCCACACTTCAAAGCGCCCAAGCTACCGCCCCAACCACAAACGCACCCCCAGCCATTACCACAACCCCCACCGGAAGCGCCACACGACCTCCAACTCCTTCACTTGGCGTACTCGCCGCCCCCGTCTTCTCCACCACAGTCGCAACAGCATATCCATAAGCCTCACGCCACGTCCTACTCCTTAAGTCACTCTGTGCAAACACCGATGGTCTGCCACTCGAATACCCCGTGGTGTATTCTGCGCCGGTTTCTTCACCATCGCACGTGACAGGTACGTCTGTGAATACGCCTGTCCAGCTGCAATCGCCGTTGAGAGTAATGAAGCCTTCCTCCTTGTCCGTCAGGCGGAAACCAAAGGTTTCTGGGCCTTGGAACATGGTAAATGGGATGCAGGGAGCGCGACTTGTCGGAGTGTTGAATGGGTGTTCCGTGTAATCGGTCGGGAGGATCCAACTTTGTGGCGGTGCTAATATCCTTTAGTATCAGAGTTGTGAGAACGAATAATCAATATAAAGTTCGATGCGTACGGCCAGTGTCAAAGGTTTCGGTCGGAGTAGGTGTGGAAGTGGATGACAGTGTAATTGTTGCGTCACATTGGTACGAATAAGTTGTCGCTATGCTGTTGGATGAGACCAACGTGATTGTCGGGGCCGCAAACCAAAAGATATCCAAGTAAGTGAGATTGTAGTCTGCGCCTACTACGCTAGCGAGGAGCAGTGCGACGAAATGCTTGGGCACGACGGCAAACATGTTATTGTGCTGTTATTCAATAACGCCTCAGTATCCCAGAACTAAGGCGAAGTAATGCGAGATTGGAGCCTAAGTACACCTAGAGCTTGGGGGACGCCTGGCATTAAACCTGATCTTCAGATAACCAGATAACAAGGCATCGATGCCCAAGTCCCCGTTGCGGATGCAAGCCACACGAAAGCTCGGTAAACCTCGCGCATACATAGTGTTAGCGTACGTCATGTGGCTGGAGGCCTAAGTAAAGGGCGCGATGGGCAATGTGCGGCGTGGTTTCGAGTTCGCGGGAGATAAATATCAATTGGGTAACGTTGGATATGTTAAAGAGCATTTGCATTGTTCGAGTACGCTCAAAGGACAATTGGGACATGTATCTCGATCAGCATTCCACACGACGGCTGCCTTTTGGCGGGAAGCGCGAGAAGAGCAAGACGAGAAATCCAAGCAACGCAACGGCAGCATTGCAGACGAACGTGAGATAGCTCTTCCCGATTTCTGCGAGTGCTGCAAAAGCCAGCCCAAAGACGGCAGTTGTGGAAAGTCGCGCGATATTTTCCACGAGCGTGATGCCACTCAGGGCGTCCACGCGATCACTTTCCGGAAGCATTTGAAGGATTGTTCCCTTTGATGCAGCGCCTGTTCCTGCTGAGAACGGTAGCAGTATAGCAATGAGATACATTTGCCATCCTTGGGACACGAAGATGGCGAGACTTGTCAGTATGCCATCTAGCAGAAGGCTGAAGCGCGCGTAGAACAAATCAAATGTAAATGTCTCTTGTTTGTTGATCGGTTCGGGATTTGGTGGCTCCTCGTTCTCCAGAGGATCGACGATTTCGGTAACGGCAGGTGTTGGTGGTGTAATTTGGACCTGGACTAGCGGTTCTCTTTCTTCCACCTCTGTCACCTTTTGATTGCTGACGTCGCCGAGCCACTCCCGTCCTGCAGCGATGATACGAGGAAATACTAGGGACAAGAAACCGCCCCTTAGCGACGAGTACAGGAAGATCAAGGCACCATTCTCTTTAGTGCCGAAGCTAAATTCAGCAGTCGCATACATCTGGAGCAGCACCGGAATGTAGCCCGTCGCAAGGATACCCAGGAAAACACCGATTCCAAGTGTCAATGCGCCGGTTTGGATGCGAGTGTGGCCGTTGGGGAGTTCCCATTTTTGTGGCGCAAAGATTCGAAGGGGCCCAAAGAACCGTGCAATGCCCGTGGTTGGACGAGGTGTCGCATCTTTGGGTTCTTGAGGCGGGCCCATGGCCGGTAGGGATACTGCTACATATGCACAGCAGAGCAAGAACAATGCCAATGTCATACGGAACGGGGCAAGGATGCCAAAGTAACCACCTACGACGCCGCCGATAAGGAAGCCAATGGCGCTCCCAAAGTACATGCAACCTTGTAGACGGCCCAGGGCACCCGTGCGTGCCTCGTGCCCAACTACGTCAGCGACTAAGGAGTTGAGACAAAGAACATAGCCATTGGGTCCTCCAACGACTGTGATGATTTGCGAGGCCTGAACAATCATGATACCAACGCTGCTGCCATGCATGATTCCAATGTTCTGAACGAGCAAGCGAACAGCAGGCCAGAAGATCTGGATAATGAGAGCAAGCTTCACGCCTAATCTTTTAATCGTCCAGCCTGCAACCAGCAGATTAACAAGTCCGAATATCGTAGTCGACGAAGCGAGCAGCGCAAACGATCGCGCTGCTCCAGCTTCAATCTCGCGTCTCGCGCATATGTCGTCGGCACTGGGGTCGGGGGTGTGATGCTCGTAGTATGCATCGCAGGTCATCATGCGAAAGGCATAAAGGATGGGCACCTGGGTAATGCCAAAGGTCAACGACACGAGGAATGCACAAAGCAGTGCGCGGAATAAAACCGAAACACCGTGTTTCTTGCCGCTGTCGCTTTCTTTGGGCTCCTCGCGTTGCAAAAGAGGCGTCGTCTCTCCTGCGGGCGAAACATTGCTCGGCTCCTGCGTCGCGGTCATATTGAAAGTTTGGCCGAACTGGTTGAGGAGAGGCGAGATGGTGGAAAAAGTTCTCGAGTTGAACAGAATAATGTGCTACTAAACCTATGGCGGGAATTCTTTCCGGTTATCGGCGGGATCTACGTGGTGCATGTCCGTTCCCCACACCGACTCTTTGGACGAGGCAAATAGGACAGTAAATCACGCACTGAGGTAAAGAAGCATACACTGTACGACGGATTATATATGTATGTGTTGCGATCAGTGTAGCTGTTCAATAGACGCCTGTGTGGAACTGTTCGTTGTGGAAAATCCCTCGTGACGTAGGAACGTTGAATTGCCACCACCCTAACATCTCCGTGGCGAGCATATTCGCTCATCAGAGTCCGATGGAAAATGTCCAGAGCTACTGGGGTAAGTATCGTTTGGTAATGGATGTATCGCTGTCTCTATTAATCGTTGATGCCGTACTGATTTAGTCTTATCGTACGCTGCTTCCTATCAGTTCATTTCATCTTACCTGCAAGGACGGCATCAATCAATAGTCGCTGCACATTCGTGTAGTTCAAAAGTTAATCGTATGTGATAAATGGCCAAAGTTTTAAATCCAATTGAGATGCGATGCAGAAATATACATGTTCCCAGCACCAATTCGACCAAAAGGTGGGGTATGAAATGCCGGACTGCCAGTTTATCAGCCCAACATCAAACGCCACCCGTGTTTACTTTCCCATTATGCATCGCCGTTCCAGAAAAAAAGTAGAGAACCCCCCAAAAATATCTCGTAGCCCCTTTAAGCCAATAACTTCATCGTCATGACGGAATAAGGGTTCTTGTTGTAGTATACAGTGCCGAACGAAATTTTAGACGTCCAGCGTGCGGAGATTGGGTGCTTCGTGCGATCAGACGAATGAGAACCTCTCATTGCAGTGCAACAGCTCACGGAAGCAGTGAGGGCAGAGATCCAGTCCTTGAGATGTAAGCCCCAGAGCGGCTGAAGCAGCGTGGAGAGTGTCGCGGGTGGAAGTGGGAGCGGTGGCTGAAGCTGGGGTTGGTACACCCGATGCAGCGGCCGGGGTGGAGGAAACAGAGTCTGGGTACTTGATCAGTATGGAGTCCAATTTGTGGGGTGGAGGCAGGGTTGACATACCTCTGAAGGCGTTCATTTTGAAAGTAGTAGTAATGTTGATCGAGATGATCGTGTTGAGTAGAGCGTATATGTATAGTAGTTGTTGTTAGAAGTTAGGTATAGATGGAATAATGTTCTCCGTAGTGAGCAGGCTTCTTCCTCTTATGTATAAACACCCTCCGTGGCCAAGTCTTTCATCATTACATCGCATATCCTACTAATTCTATGAAATCATTCAACTTGGCGAACAGAAATCGCAACACACAATCCACATCCCGACTTGTCCCGGGCTCTGTTTCGAGAATGGGCGTCGAATGACCTTCAGACGACGCGCCACCCTCGCCTCATCCGCCAAGTGGGGTGACGATAACGCGTGCAAGCCCCACTGTTAGCCGCTAGCGCGGCTGAGATTTTCAGGGCCCATGTTGAGCCTCGTCATAGCCCAGACTTGACAATCGGCCAAACAGTGTTTTTCTTGCTAAGTAGAAAAATATTCAGTGTGTTGGCCGGTGCGGGTCAACAATGACTCTTTTTCTCGTCTGAAAGAAGCGCCTACTGGTCCGGACAGACGGAAGCTGAAGTTTTGCTGCCTTGTTGGAACATTGGCGGCATGCTATGGGTGGAGATTGTGGGCTGGACTTGTAACTTATCATTCACATGTCAGACGTCTCGAGTTGTTTCGGCCAACGTCATCGCCTTATCGGAATGCGCTGGACCAATCTTTTGATAACGTGAAGCACTGCCAAGACCTACAATACTGGCTGTATCCTTCTCGCACACCGCTGCTTAAGTTATCTTAATTCTGTATCAGCCGATGTGTGCGGTAAAATTTGTTAAAGTTTCATCTCGATGTCAGACATTTATACCAACATATCAGCATACCTGTTAAGGTTATGGTGACTCTACGCGACTTATCCCGTTCTATGGATCAAAATGAATCAGATAACTTGATGAAATCTTTTTGTCGACTAGATGCTATATGCTCACTTAGTGGAAATGAACATGAACAAAGGTTGTGATGTCAATACCCTTGCCATCTAAGTAATGGAGCCACTAGTATCCCACATCGAGCTACTCTCCTATCGTGCACGTACAGTGTCAAGATCAAAAAGGAGCATTGACAGCATTTCATCTCATTCTCGCCGGGATATCAAAACCGCGATGGGAACAAATGAAGTTCCCAATCACATAGACGGATCCCGCTCACTCCAACCACATCTTCGAAGTCAAGAATACAGCGCGGACGCGACCCTAACCCCGGACTCCCAATCAACCCCAACCCCTAATACAAAAATGGAAGGAAAAAAGCATCCACATAAATACCCTTTTCCATCCAACTCAGTCTAATATTACGCCCTCACCCCTACGTACTTCATCCAACAATCCCAAAAAGACCAGTCATGTAACGTGAAAGAACGCATAACCTCGTAACCCCTTACATCAGCAAACCCGCGTATGAAACCGTCATCGCAAAAAAAAACAAAAATCAGATATCGTCGTTTATGCGCTACCAGGTTGTCACATGAGCGACCTCCGCTTCAATTTCCTTCTACTCAACCGTTAGCAAAAAAGTCGCATGGGATTTAATAGGATACGAGAAACTTACGTAGCACCCCAACTATACCTACTCTTCGGCCTCTGTCCTTCAGCCTCATTCGCCGTATACGGCCTTACCGATGCGGCTGGGATTTCCATAATCGTCGCATCGTGCGCGGCGTAGTACCGTTGTTGCCGTGTCAGACTTGTGCGTTTCGGCTTAGCGGGGACGCCCAAGTTTTGAGGGGCGGGCGAAGTAGCAGGCGGGGTCGTGGAAGACCGTTCGATGGGCTTGGGCGGCTTGATGGAAGCAGAGGTGGAGGGGCGTGGAGTGGCGGCATTCTTGTCTTTTGGGACGAGGACGCGGCGGATGACGGAGTCTTGAGTCTTGGACCCCACCATCTTTTGCATTACGTCTTTGAAACTTGCGCTTTTGCTGCGCGTGCCTTTTGCGGCTCGGAGCTCGGGGGGTGGCAGGTCTTGGGACATCAGGTTCCAGCGGGTGTTGATGCTCTTGACCGAACGCTTGGCCCGGACATGTCGCACGGGTGTCTGTTGGATGCTTCCCTCACGTTCTTGGACTTCGACCTCTTGGGGTACTGGGGTAGAGGTGTTTTCTTCCGAGGGCGTTGTTGATGGCGAGCTCATTTCCTGAATCAGAGTTGCGCCGCTAGAGCGGGCAGATGTGCGTTCAGTACGCTCCGTGGAAAGCACCCGTTGGCGTGGACGATGCATTACAAGTCGTTCACGGTCGAGCATGAGTTGGTATTTGGTAGCTTGGAGCTCGGTGATGGACTGCTTCAGACGCTCAATCTCATCCTGGTCCTGAGTGTGGAAAGTAGCGGCGGCATCTAGCTCTCCTTGGATCTCCTTGATATGCTGGTCCTTGTCCGCGATGGTTTTCCTGAACTTATTTGCCTCTTCTTCTTTTATCTTGAGCGTGCGTCGAAGTTCGACTAATTGATCTTCCATGCGTTGGAAATGTACGTGATGCACAAGACTTGGGCGCACAGTCTTCGTATCTTCATTGAGGGGTTGCTCCGATTTGTACTGCTCTCGGAACGCTTCAGATTCTCGTACGGCAGCAAACATTCGTGTATTTGCATCCGCTAGCCGCTTTTCAAGGGCCGTCACCTCCGCATAAAGCCGAAGGTTTTCTTCTTGGGTGGTGTCGAACATGGCTTCTAGCTCATTCTTGTCGTGGTCGTTCTCGTTGATCGTGGGCAAACGACCGGGTAGAGGGCTCCCTCGGCTTTCAGATTGTGAGTCTGCTTCTGCAAGCCGGATAGTCACCTCCTCTAGCTTTTCCTGTGTTTGAACGTGTCTTTCGCGTTCCTCCTTGAGAGCCTTTTTTGTCTTCTTCGCCACATCCCACGCCCTTGATAACTCGGCTTGATGATTGACAACATACTCGTTGGGTTTCGCAATGGCAGCTAGTTGTTCTTGGAGTTTGGCGATGATGAGATCCTTGTCTTCCTCTCCACCTTTCGAATCGCGACCCTTTCGAACTCGCAGCAATCGGACCTCGAGCGCGTGGTCGCCTTCATCCACCTCGTCGGAAAGTCCCAGGTCTGCTTGTCGTTCTATTGAGATGATTCGCTCCTTCATCAGCCTCAACTGAGCGTCCTTTACCTCTATCGTGGCCTTGTGTTGCCGAGCCATCTCTTCTAATCTGGCGTCGCGCTCCTTGATGCACGCGTCCTTTTGCTCGTTGCCCTTGCGGAGTGCAAAGAGCTCGATGTCTTTCCGGTATACAATGGCTTGGTGGTCTCGTCCTAGATTCTGTTTGACAATCTTCAATTCCTCGCGTAGGTTGGCATACTCGGCAAACGTCCCATTGAGCGTCTCGCGCGCATTAAAGAGTTCCTCCTTTGAAATGCGGAGCTGGGTTTCGGTGGCTTTGTGGGTAGTCTTTAATTCCGTGAGAGAGCGTTGCAATCGCACAATTTCTCTATCTTTGGCGTCAAAAGTTATTAGGCTTGTGTCGGATGTGCTTGACCTTTGCGCTAACGCAGGTATGAGGTTTCTGGTTCCGGCGATTGCGGCACTTGCGTTGGCAGATGTTGTGCGGGTCTCAATATCTGGGGTTTCAGAAGGCGATGTTTGCTGGGGTGAATGATGTGATTCGCCACCAACGATAGCGTCGAACGGCGTATAGCCGACCGCGTGCTGAAACAGGTCAAACGCAACCATGACAAAAACTAACACCAGTGAATGGCGGCCTTCAAACTTGTGGCTGGCGCAAAAAAGGACGACCAGAAATTGCAAAACGTTTCCAAGGGATGTTTGATGTCTACTCGCCCACGGACTTAGCGAATCCCCGATGAGTAAGATAGACGCAGAAAGCAGAACCGCGATGATCACTGTCCAAAAGGGCAGATCAAAAGCAAAGTCGAGTGCTCTAAAGAGCCCTTCGGAACGAAGCCCTTCTCCTGATTTAGATACGTTTGCTTGAAGTGCGTTGCGTGTGGAGGCGATCAATCGGTAGATTATAGCCGTTAACGGCTCGTCGACTGCACTAAGGATTAGCGTGCTGTCAATACAAGTGATGCACGTAAATAGCAAATTGATCGTATGTACATACCTGGCTTCGATGCCGGTGGATCAAATACCAATGGGTCGTACGCGGTGCAGATAGGGGGCGTGGCCGTAGAGTTCGGGTTGAATGTCAACGTCGATGAAGATCTTGGAAGGAATGGCTCTGTGGGCAATAAAGTAGTCCAGCCACCAAACAAAAGAAAGCCAGCAAGCATGACGACTACCGACCCGGCAGCGATCAGCAGCGGGTAGCATTGTGCATGGCTTCGGGCCACTTTGCAGACTGTTGTCATACTGGTACAAGCCAGACCCGGTCAGGTGGGCATAAGGCTGGAAAAGAACCGTTTGGATTGGTGAACCGGGCGGAGAGCGACCCGGGATCAGGGACGTGTTCAATTTTAGGCGTTTAGAGTTAAATTCGTGGTATTTGTTATGTATACAACTGGCCAAGATGCAATGCGATGAAAGAATAGGGAGAGAAGGCCGCCAAATCATAGAGGAATATCTAGTCAACAAGAAAAAGACAAAGACGTAAAGAGAACACATAAGCTGGAGCGTTAACGAGTTCATGGAAGATGCGCATAACAAAACAGTTGACCCGCGACACCTTGGGAGGGATGCATCCAAACACAATGTCGTCAGATCAGCAATGGACAATGCGACAGGGATCCCCGCAGCAGCATCCAGAGCAGAGTACTTAATACTCAAAATTCGAATCTCTTAAAACCCTCGACCAAGCCGTCGCTAATCTTCGACGGTATCGCCCATACAGGGAGGTAATGCTGTACCTCATCAAAAGCAGGGATGTCACCGGCGTTGGCGTCCGACCACAGACACACAACCCTTCCAGAAAACTTGGATTGTTCTTCGGCGTTCCACTTCACGCTTACGTTCCAAGGCTGACCGAATTCGCGATGCCAGAGGCGCACTTCCCGGGATCCCGCTGCGCCAACAGGCTTAAAGCGGGGATCTGAAACGGCGCCAGCAACGGCTAGGTCGGTAACGGGGGAGTCGAACAGAATCCGGCATGCTCGCGTGTTTTGGCCGATGACACGTATTGTCGCTAAGTTGGAGCTGTTGCTCTTGGAAATTGTGTAATCGATCCATTTGTCTGTTGCGGGCTTATGATCCGATAGAGTTGTTCGGGCTGTGGCTGTGGTTGAGACTACTTTGGCGGGTGGACCCTGCCATTCACACGTCTTGAGCTCCTTACGTGTCGCAACGTCAGGCGTCATGCAACTGACCTGCGTACCTTGCGCACTGGGTATTTCGCTGACAATGCGCTGCACGTAGCCATCCACACCAGTCAGGGATACGGTATTGACACCTGTCTCACAGTTGACTCGCTGAACAAAGTAGACCTTCAAGCGATGATCCCTGCTGAAGGGGAATGCCACCAGATTGTAAATGACGGTCCCAACACATACGAAGAATAGAAAGGTCGGGACATGGTAGGTGAAACGGTGGATGAAAGGACCGATGGGCGTCAGTAACAGCACGCTGAGCGACGCAATAGCGAGGTAAATGAATAATGTCGAGTTGCCATCTGACGGTGTCTGGTAGAGAGCCGATGTCAGAAGAAGAGCCACCTGTCCGACCAAGATGATGACGATGGGCGCCAAGAGTAGCAGTTGGATGATCCAGACCCAGCTCGGTAATTTTCCGCTCCACTCCTGCTCCCCAGGATAAACAGTCCCAGGATCCATTCGCCGTGCATGATCATCGCTTCCGTCGCTGGTGGAGTCTCGCCTGGTTCCATATCTTGCAAATCCGCGACGATTACCACCCAACAGAGATGTAGTCTCGGTCGCGTCATCATCTGGTACCGCACGCTCGTCGGGGCGCGATGCGTTGGTACTGCCCGTGACAGGGCGACTTGTGGGTTCTGAATCCTGACGCAAATGGCTCACTTGATCGATGTGACGTGCATACGCGGACTTTGTTGGTGCGAAGAAGAGCTCTAGATACGAGAGTAGGATGGCGACGAATACGGCGGCAAAGTAGAAGAGCATCGGGTAGCCGCCTGCAAGTTGGTAGTTGTTAACGAAGACGGTGACCACGATGAGGAAGATGAAGGACCCGATAAATAACCATATCAATGCGTACATTCGCTGAAGAGCAGAGGGTCGCATGGCGTCTGCACCACGGGACAAGAACCAGGCGACTGTGAACCAAGCAGAGAGCATCATACTGTTACTACGGTCAGCGACGGTGCTGACAGGCGTCCAACTGACTTACCTCCAGACAGCATAGGGGCTGCTGTAGATGATCATGGCATTGAATCGAACGATGAGATAAGCTAGAGCGACGACGATGGCTGTGGCAGCGACGAAGATGATGGGAAATCGGAAGAAGCCTCGCCAGCCGTAAAGGTGTACTGGATGGTCATCATCTGGCGAGTAGACATATGCCTTGCGAGCAAACAGGTAATTCTTGTCAAGCCGTGAAAGTCCCACAGTAAGGCCAATAAGGACAAGGGGCGCGACTACCAACATGGTGACACATAATGCGAACAAAGTGTGTAGCCGGAACACAACAAAGACTTTGCCAAAAAGATCGAACCAGACGCCGTCGCTGCCAGTGCCTGCATTGACTCTGCCATTGTCGACAGTCTCCGGGCCACTGAACTGGGTACCAGTTACAGAGGCCAGTCCGGCAGTCGAAGCCAAAGCTGCTGATAGCATGTGCCAAATCGACTTTATGGATGTTTCTCGTGCCGAGTCTTCGATTGTATGGTACCGTGCTCTGGGCTCCAGGAAAGCAATGTCAAGCCCGCGGAGACCAAGATCGCCATGGAAGACGCGATAGTCGGTCTCACTGCGAACGAGGCCTTTTTTGAAGCCATCTCCACTCACAACTGTTCCATAAGGATACTTTGACTTTCTATAGAAGCGCGTTACTTCAGTATCGGTACTTCTAAAGAGGGCAGCTCGGCCACCGGCACCAACACCCTCCAAGTTGACAAAGGTATGGGGGACTTGGGATATGGGGTTTCTCATGAAAGCCCTGGCACCATTCAGGTAGTCTTCTTCGCCGTTGTTGAGCAAAAGAAGTATGGTCCGTTTGGGCCAATTGCGGGATTCAGTAAAGTACGAGAGGAGTTGGAGTACCGTTACAACACCGACGCCATCGTCAGTCGCCCCGTAGCCGGAGCTCACAGAGTCGTAGTGTGCATTGACGAGAACGCCGCCATTGTCTGGTCTGCGCTCAGTGGAGTTGAAGGGTTCATCGTCCTGGGAGCCACGGATGGCGACGATCAGATTAGTTCCTTCAAAATAAACAGAAGTGGTGCCGGATGAGAAGGTGACATTTGCGGTTAAATCATTGAGCACTTCAATCTGGCCAGGCTGGGCATCCTTTTCGGCGACGATGGCCTGGATGCGCGAGAGGAGGTATTGATGCACGTCATGATTAGCATGGCTATTGTATGGGTGAAAGAAGCGGGTGATGTGCTGAAGGTCTGCCCAAGCTTGGGTAAGGTTGATACCCGGAGGAGGATGTGAGGGATAGTCCGGGACGGTCAGGTGGGTGGTGAGCAGAGCAGCTAACAGACCGACGTAGATGGCGGTGGTGAAGAAGATGACGGGCGCAGGCGTGAAGGAGAAGGGGTTATAGCGGGCCATGGCTGCGCCGGTGGAGCCGTGTGCATAGGCTCGTTGGGTTGCAGAAGAGGTAACGGCAACAGAGCAGTTACAGCAATGACGCGAAGTGGAGAGGCTGGGGTGGTGTTGAGGTCTCTATGGGTCCACGATGGGCGGGGTGCGGGCCTCGTGCATGCATGTGCAGGCGTTGTGGGTCATAGCTCCATAGCTCCTGCCGCTACGCGACCGCCAAGAAACTGCCCTTTCCCATTCTCCCACAGGCTCATCTCATCTCACTCATCTCAACCCCTCCACCATCGATGAAATGAAGACACGGAGACTTCATAGATATGTCCGGGGACTCATGTAGCGCCCAATCGATGCATCTATCTCGTATGCCCATCGATGCAGTCTCTATCTACGGGTAGTTGTAATCCTCGGACTGACCATGTCTGAGGAAGCTGTCAATATTCGACACTACGACCGCACGTCACGAGATATGAACAGAGATACGGATTTCTATAAGGACACAAATGTGCTCTTGACTGCGCCCATTTTGTCGCCCCTCCCACGACTTGTCGCTACACCAACCGCCTACTCTGGTAGCTGCCTCGCCCTTAGTCCCCAGCTCATCGCGTACCTCCAAACCCTCCTCGCCCCACCGCCATGTATCGCAGTCTCGATAGGAAGTGGCTTTGGCCTCCTTGAAGCATATCTCATGACTGGCCCTAGTACATTTCATGTCATCGGTGTAGAGGTTGCGCCGGGCCCTAACAAATACCTTCCCCCCTCCCACCACCGCCTCGTCAATGGCACCCGCTTCCTTGAACCCTTGGCGGAACAAGCCCAGATCTGGCTGTTTGTATATCCAAGACGCGTTGGCCTGATTCAGGAATACATGGCGGCATACGGCCAGGGAGCTGTGGAGAGGATAATATGGGCCGGGCCCAAGGCCGATTGGGACGACTACAGACCATGCTTTGCCGACTGGACTGTACAAGAGCAAGAGGCCGATATGGTCGGTGGGCGTGGGTGGGAGATGATTGTTGTTGTAGATAAAAAGTCGGCCTGAGATTAGGTGCTGCAAGATCAGAGTTATATTGGAAACATTGGTTTTGCAAGCACTTGTGAATCTTGCATGTTGTGAAAGGAAATAGCCTACAAATCTTTCTCTTCGTTCTTAGAGCAGATGCGCATGTGAAAAAAGCTTGGATATCCTGCAAGCCGGAAATCGCTCGACTGCCAATCCTGAGCTGCGTAGCTGGCTTGCTCTGGGTTATTCTCCCTGCGAAGAATCACACGACTACTCCATATACAAGCAACGAATATGGATAGTATCGTCTTCCAGTACTCTCTTTGCTACAAACAAAGCTTTTAGTTTTAATGCGACTCAGTCCCATATTGACCCTATCAACGAAATATTGCATCTGGACTTGTGGAAAGTGCTCTAATGTGTAAGAGGCTAATAATACAGCTGACGTCTAAACCACAAACTCTAAAATAGCAATCTAATCGGGCGTGATTTGGAGATGACTGAATTTGCTTGTCAACCTCATCGGCCCAAATGCTTTAATATATATCCGAAAAGTGCTATTCATATTTTCCACCATACCACAATTATAGTCAAACTCCTAGCTTGGGTCATCAGCGTATACCTGTGCATGGACTCTTCTAGGATCTGTAGTCAAGCTTCAAAGCAGGCGCAACAATGCCAATTCTTTCATTGAAAAAGCTAGAATAAGTTATCTTGATTTATTGCAAGTACACAGGAAATTACATTCTGACTTGTGCGTAATTGGGTTCAGTCATTACACCCCCAAAGATATTTAGCGCACTGCAGGAGAGCCATGCGACAATGAAAATTCTGCAATTATACAATTATACGAAGTTTCGATAAAACAAAACGCTGTTAAAATCCTTGCCGTGTATGCTGCAATGCAGCCAACTTTAGTCCCCATTTTCCTCGAGGATCCGTCTTTCCCGTTGGTGGTGTTCGCTGGGGCTCTCCCAAGAATGGGACCGTTCACCCGCTACACATGCCAGCTAATGCTGCAGTGACGATCACCACATCATTCCTTGTAGCTTTCGATACGTTGACGAAAGATGTGATGCTATTTTCCCAAGTAAACATCTATACTACATAGACGTGTGATTAGGAGAAGACGCCAACGTCAAGGCCTGCAGATCCAATGCGTTGGCTGATTGCCCATTGTTCGTTTAAAGGCTAGGGCGGAAAGAAAAGAGCTATTTTATCGCATTGACTGTACTGTTGCATCGTGAAAAGATCGCTCTCCCATGGTTCGCCGGCCACGCCATGCGGGGACCCGAGGGGTTTCGTATTACAGCCACTTTTGATGAAGCTTGGTATGCTGTTCTCGTAAGCAGCATTCACGACAATTGTGGTCAAACACAATACAGGTCTACTATATTAGTTGTCGGATATAACATACACGATTCTTTCGAACAAAGCAGCACCTATTTCGAGAAATCTTACTCGATAGTATCGCCTGTCAGGAGTAGCGGGGTACGCGCTGCGCGACGTCACGAAATGCGTGCAGAGATGTAACAGTGGACTTGTTGTTTGATCCTTGGGTCCAAGGTGGAGACTTTATGCAGGTTGAGAGCCTTTCAGCCAGAAATACCGACCTATTTTCGTACCGTAGCAGGCAGCTTTAGTATTACAAGCCAGATAGCTCCAGACTCGAGTGGTCATAGTCATGGTCTGATTATAGGACTTTATTGTATCTCCCAGACACATGAAAACCTGGTTGAAAGGTTTCTTTTTGAACCTTTTCACGAAAACAGTTAGTAATGCAGTGATGGTCTGGATACTATGACTCTGTAATGTGTACCATAAAGACATCGTCAACATCACGGCGCTGAAAAGAAAATTCAGGAATGAGAAGACCGGACATGAGCAGAACGAGGCATGGTGGGTCTACGAGCATCAATGCATCGTGTTATCCTAGCTGTGGTTCTCGTAAGCGGCTAGATCGTTCGCTTACCGTATGTACCTTGCACAGCCACCTAACCGTTCTTCGCTCAATCTTCATCGAACGTGCCCATACACATCTCACTGCGGCACAACGCCCTCGGAAGCACATGCCTTTAGCTACCGCTTCAGATCCAGTAACCTTGCGTGCATATCGCCTGGTTGCTGCGGCGAAAAGCATGGCGTTGAATGGGACGTTCTGTTATCTTGATTCCGCTATTCTTTAGTTAAGCTGACACGCAAGTATACTACCGATTAACGCTGCTAGTGGTGCCGTCTTAAAACAAAGCCGTCAAACTCAGATTCGAATACATAGTGGCACGTGCCTGAACGCAACGTGACCAGTACATAGTTCCTGGCGCTAGGCAACATTTGCAAGATGGAAAAGTCATGTGTTTGCGCAGCAGACGGACCGTTCGGAAACAGAGTAGTATAGGCACGGAAGCTCAGTGTTTGCATTCGCCTTTACGTGCTCGGTCGAGGTACGTGGGGCCGGGGCTGTAAAAAAAAGTGTGTAGCTCCTCAATAGTACGAAGATCATGTACGTAAATAGCGTCCCATTCGGTATGCCCGCCCTTTGCTACACTCTGGAATGCTACCTCGAGAGCTGAAGATGGCTAGCTGAGAATGAAATGACGCATGATTTCTATTTTGGGCTGTGCAGCACAGACGATGATTGGTTCACCGCCTGACTGTCATGTGGCGAACCCCAAAGCGGGTAACTATGGGTTACGAGCGCCAAGTCAGGTCGGGCCGGGTCACCAACCTCGTATTACGCTTTTTAAACTTTGTGGTAATACGAATGCCCAAAAGTATAAAGCAAAGCTGCCATTCCCACGTGTCATTCTTCATCACCAGTCTACTACCATCTAAATACACCTACTCTCGTTTGTTCGAACCATCTCGATAACCTTCGCTTAATACCTCAACTTCAACATATCCGCAACCTTCACCATGCGCTACTCTTTCTTCGCTATAGCTACAGCCGGCGTCCTTGCCTCAGCTCAATCCACAATTCCTCTCGGCGAGAAGTGCACTCCCGGCGGCACTCCGTGTGCCAACGGTGCCAACTGCTATGCTACCAACTCTATGCTCATCCCCCAGTGCGGAAACTTCCAGTCATCTTGCACCAGCGATGATCAATGTGCATTTAATACATGCAATGGCGGCTTCTGCAACGGCCCCAAGGCTTCTTCTTCTTCAGCACCAACCACTTCCTCAACCCCACCCACCGTCACAAGCAGCTCGACTGCGCCTGGATGGAGTCCTGCTCCTTCACCCACGATTGTCGCGCCCGCTGGCTCTCTTCCTCTGGGTGCTGAGTGCAATCCCTATGTCACCCCTAGCCAGTGCATCGAGGGTGTGGAATGCTGGGCCAGCAACGCCGGTTTGATCGCGAGATGTGGTAACTTCAACGCCGCATGCAAGACTGATGCGCAGTGCGCCTACAACACCTGCAACAATGGCATTTGCAACGGTCTTCGTGTGTCTTCGTCTGGCCTGCCTATGGCTTCTTCCAGCCCAGTCCCGGGAACCCTGAGTGTCCAGCCTACCCATTCTTCCGGCTCGGGTGGAAACGGTACCGTGAACCCATCCCACACTCCCTCGCCCATTTCGTCCGGCACCCCAGAGTTCACTGGCGCTGCATCGGCTGAAAAAGTAGCGGGCGGCATCTTCGCGATTGTGTTCGGTGCTATCGCTTTGGGTTTGTAAGGCTGTGGCGGTAACTAGTAATGAAGTAATGATGGATTGATTGGACAGAATATTGTTTTTTTGCGCTCGTGCCCGTCTCTCTTTACTGTTTTCAGCGTGTACATATATATAGACTAGTAATGCAAATAATCACTGTCCTTTAAAATGAAACCAACCGTCGATCGGTACTTTCCAAAATGAGTAACAACATGTTTTTTCAGGCCATCTAATAAGAACAGAATGACCGTAGTCAGCTGGCTGACTTATTCTCTTTCTCTTTCTTGTCTGTTACTTGCTCATGTCAACGCTTCCTTACCTTATTTGCATTTTACCCCTAGTCACCCTACCATAATGCGGAGGGAAAACTTCACATCTCTCAAAAGGAAACCGTTTCTTTCCCTCACAAGACACCGCAGCTATGGCTATGGACAAATCCCTTGTTTATCTTCATCTAGAATAACCGACATTTTTCAAATGCCTCTACCAAATTACCTCGACCAAAAGTACTCTTGTACTTTACGTCAGTATTAATCGTTGTAAGACACGGCGAGTTAAGATTGAAGAGCATTATAGTCATAGTATCTTTCCATTGAATCTATTAAGCTACACAAATATAGTCTCGAGATTCGTGCAGCATCGGTTTTCGGCCTCGCCTCTCAATGCCTCAAGATACTCATCACTAATTGTCCGCTTCTGCTCATCCGGAATGTACGCCCACTCACTTCGCTCGACGATCTCTTTTTCTCTCCATGCCGCCATCTCATCTCCTAGCCACTTGACACTGAGTTCCGCCGTTTCGCTAACAGCCTCCATCGGGATTAGATGGCCTACACCCTGGACCGTCACCTCCGCCACCCGACCCTTGGCTGCACCGCCGCTCCCGCCGATGCCCACGCCCGTTAAATCGACCTTGTAAGCAGTCGGCTCGCACGTTGTGTAGTGAGATTTGCTGCCGAATACGTACAGCACCGATGGCCGCACATATGGCAACATGTGGAATGCGACGACGGACTCGGCGCGCTCAAACGGCTGCCCCGGCAGTGCCGCCTCAGGTGTGTATTGCGCATACACCACACTGTTTGGCCCACCTAACTGCGCGCTGAGCCCAGGGTAGGCATGTGGATCGAATGTTGGCAGGAGGAAAGGGAAGACTTCTTGGTGCTTTGTGGTGAGCGTGACAGCGTCAGTGGAGGCGTCTTCATGCGTCACTTGAGCTTCAGTTCCGGCCTTTTGGATGTGGCGCGGGTACAAACCCGTGGGTAGACTGTGCAAGCCGTACTGCAGCCACCGCTGCAACACACGCTCATCCCATTTGCGATAATACCTGTTCCTGCGAAAGTCCTCGGCTGCAGCGGAACGGGACGACCACGCATCACGGCGGCGGGCCGGAGCGAGCGCAGTCGTACGGTAGCCCACCGCAAACACGTGCCGGTGAATTGTGGGGTCGATAAGGATCAGAGTATCTAGGAAACGTGGGTGGGGGAGTGTGAGGCTGACGAGGATAGTGCCACCCGCGTTGTGGCCAATACCAACAATAGGGCATACCATTTGCTCGCGAAATGTGTTAACCATGTGTAGGAGATCCCGAGCATGATCGAATGCGGAAGCTGCCTTCTTATCTCAGTATGCTGTTCTGTTTTGTTCCGTCTTTCCCTGAGGGTGGAGGACAAAGGCAGGGGGCTAATTACGCTCGTTTCTCAGCCTGTGTTCATTGAGTACGCCACCAGCTCCTTGGTTTGCCACGTCTGCAATCCATATACTGCGAATAGAGACCCTCGTGGACTTCAATCGGCTATGCATGTCAGCCCAAAGCGGTTCGTACAGCTCCTAGGAAAATGTCAGATGCAGTCCAACCAAAACATGTAGCACGAATACCTTGAGGAACCCCTGAGCATGAGTTCCGATGATGATGATATCGCCGGGCTGAGCATTGTGGTTGTCACGTGGAATGTATTGCTTCACACTAAGATGAAGCAGCTCTTCTTGTTCGTGAGCTGTAGAGTGAGGACAGCCCCGAATATGTTGACAAGGAATTATGCGTTCTTTAATCTCAAACAAGAATGGTGGTATAGTAGCTCTATTGTCAAGAGTAAGTAATGAGCGCGTGGACAACTCGGGGTAGTAGTATTGTTGTCCCGAGAGTGTGTAGCGGTGGTGGCATGATATAGATTGTCTTATACTATGGGTCCATAGTTTGGCTCATACAGATAGACTACAACTCTGAACTACAGTAACGTATAGTCACGATGACAGGCCCATTAGCCATATTTCTACAGATCATCTTACAGGGGTAATATTCAGCAAGTTGCTAGATGAAGTTTCATGCTTTATGACTAACGTAATCTCATCTCTCGTTATACTTAATCCTAATCTAAATCTAGTCTAATAGGCAGTATTTTCGTGAGAATCTAAGACATACGTGACTCAGAATGGACCTGCCTATACTCACGAGGGTGGTTTATCTTGTTAATATATCATGCACTCGTTGACTTATTTCGCCAGGTGATTCAGATTCGGATACAAAAAGCAGCGACATGATCGCTAGAACAAAGCGTAATTGCTGTCAAAATCGCAGTCTTTGGTGCCCCTGCATGATCAAAGCAGTCAGAAGAGACCATAGATGAGGTAAATATTTCTTCTATCAGTAATCGGGACGGCAGTCATCGATGCAACGCTTATTTCATCCCAAAGCTGGCAAGAGATAGCGCCACTACACGCGTGAAGGAACGGCACCGTTCTGCGTACGTACCCTTCGCTACGGGTGCACGTGGCTGCATTGGATTCAATGCAGCATTGCCGGAGGCCAAGGTTGCTGTTGCAGAGTTAGTCTACCAGTATGCGTTTGCATATACCAGCGTAGAACCAATCGAGTATGACCCGGAATTCAACAAAATCCGACCTTCGAACTTCTACGTAAAGGTTACTAAAAGGACTTCCTGGCCGACGTCAAACTTAAACGCTAGTTGATTATATTCATACACTTTCTAAGATGATTCACTGTAAGACTTTGGAGTCACATGAGACGCTGACCGAAGAAAACTACATAAACCTGTTGAAAGAGGACGAGGGAAAGGGAATGGGTCAGTGAGACTGTGAGATAGTGTGACGGAGAATCCCAAGGACAATGCGACAGAGCATCTCAAGGATAGTACAGCGGCACAGAACTGAGCTTTTAACCGCCAGTTCTACGATGTTGCAGATTGCGTAAGAGGCAGGGCGTATCCCCTTACAATACACTACTATCTTTAGTCGGTCAAGCTCTTAGTAACCTTATTGACCATGAAACAATGGTACAGAGAAACCACCAAAGTTGTTAGGACGTTTGAAGGGGCAAAGGTTATACATCACCCCCACAAGCAGGGCTCCCCTACTTAGCGTTGCGCTAATATCAATCCCCGATAGGATCCGAGCTTGATTCGTAATCTATCTCGTGCTGTAATTAAAACCGCTTCGACATTCCCTTCTTTATCGGTCTCCGTTCTTTTTGTTTCATCTTCTTTCCTTTCTCTCTTTTTTTTCTACCTTGCTCATGAAACATGATGTATATTTGGACGGAGCTTATACTAGAGAGAGGGCCTACCCATGCTGGTAATAAATAGATGACAGTGACAAATGACGCATGCACTTGCCTTATAGAGCATAGCGATCGGTGCTGCGATATGACGCAATTCTCAGAACCTCGTCTTCTACAAATTTACCGAGGTTATCCCGGAATCTAAGATTGGTTTCTTATGCCCACTTGTGTTCCAGATAGATCTGCAGTTCTAATTGGACCTATGCCGAAGTTTTCCATATCTTGTACTCTACCATAACACCTCTTTTAGCTTGTTATGTTCCTGGGGTATAGAGATATTATTCGCCCAATTTTTGGAATACATTCATCAAGATGTTCGGCGTTTCTCTTAAGGAATGACGCACGTTATAGCCACTAAGTTATGTATATAGTTGTGCAAGATTATTAAGGTACTTTGCAGCTATGTTCCTCCGCGTGTAAATGCTTTGTCGAAATGGGCCGATTCCCAATGGGTCCAATCTAACTGATAGTGATACACCATGTACTAACCTTCTTGTAGCACTAGCAGCGAATTAGTCTCACATTAACTAACATCAGGTTGAGTTTACATACCCACAACATTCTTCTATAAGAGTTGTAATCTTCTGAATATTTGTTGGGTACCTTTATTCCTATTTCAACTGCACGAAACGCCATAAGCCATCATGCGCGTAACACTTTCCAATCTGGCACTCTTTGTCTGTGTCTCTCTAGCCGCCCCTGCACCAAACGCCACGACGTCCACGCAAGAAACGCGCAGCCTTGACGAAATTTATGAGGCAGCTGTTGCTGAAGGTGGCGTTGTCACTCTTTGGCATGGGGGCGACGAAAAGACTCAGCAAAACGCCCTAAAGGCTGCCTTCGAGAAACGATTTCCCAAAATGACTCTGAACGTCACAGTCGACCTTTCCAAATACCACGATGGAAACATAGATTTGCAACTCGCAAACGACAACGTATACGTCGACAGCGTCATCCTTCAGACGCTGCATGACTACCCGCGCTGGAAGAAGGCAGGCGCTCTGATGAATTATGCGCCATTGAACTTCGACAAAGTCTACCCCCAGTTCAAGGATGCAGATGCAGCCTACACAGGACTGTTTATTATTGCTTGGGGGTATGATACACCATGAAATATATGTCAATATCATTGCTAAACAAATACAGCCTCGCTGCCAACCCGAACAAGACGAGCGCAGTGCCTACTGCGTACGAAGATTTCATCAAACCCGAGTTCAAGGATAAGCTGGTTCTGACTTATCCTAACGATGATGATGCGGTCTTGTACCAGTTTGATGTCATGTAAGTTCTTATCAGACCTTATGTATGCAGTTTATTGATTGCATTTCTAGCTTGGAAAAACTCGGCATGAAATGGTTCGACGCCCTGCTTGCCAATAACCCCCGCTGGGTGCGCGGTACACAAACCCCAGGAACGATTCTCAGAGCCAACAATAGCACCAGCGCGGCAACATTTACTGGCAGCTATTCATTCACGGATCGCCCAGGAGCGTCGTTTGCACTACCCACTGATGCCAAATTCGTCTCTTGGCCTCAGACTGGTGCCATCCTGAAAAAGGCACCGCATCCCGAAGGTGCAAAGTTGCTCCATAGCTTCATGCTTAGCGATGAGTATCAGAAGGGTAATGGTAGGTGGAGCGTTCGCGAAGATCTTCCGGCGGTCGAGGGCCATCATACAATTCTTGAGGAGCCTAACACGGATGCACCTGCGTTTGCCAAATGGATGGCAGACCGTGCGAACGTTGAGAGGAGTAGGTTCTTCTATGAAGATAGAATTGGTAGTGCGCAAGGTCTCAGCCCACTCATTGACGACCTGTGAGTATGTTCTTGCTGTGGGGATGTTCTCTGTACGAAGTTGGGATAAAGATGTAAATATGACATTCATGTGTATATTGTGTTCCACAAGTTTAGGTTTTTCTTCTCTAGTCTACATCCTGGCCAGGGCGAAATGGTCAAATGAGCTAGTCTGTACGATTATTAGGGGTTTTTTTTTGTAGAAAGCAGTTTATTATTAAAGTGACAAGACTAACAATCCGTGTATGAAAGACCTGACAAAAAGGAGATGAGTATAACGTGTGTAATAATGAAAATCATCTCTCCATTGATATATGGTCAGGGACGCGTCCATTATGAAGTCTTGGTAAATCTGGTACTTGGCTCTGAAGAGCTAAAGAGCTTCTAAAAATGTCGAAGAGTCCATCTTGATGGCCATTTCGTGGTCGCAGCTTTCTATTATAGTAAGATTCTAAGCCCATGGGCGATGAGATACTTGAGGCGATTACAAGGCAAGGCTCCATATATTTTCATGCCCTGGGTTGAAGTCATCCGCGTTGTACTATCTATAGATTTTTCGAAGCGACTGGATGCTCCCCAGGTGTTAGAAGCAGTCCAACTTGCACAACTACACAACCTCTGCTCTAATGTCCAAAAATCATATGAGAACATCCATCGTACGAAATCTCGCTTTGGTCTGATTTTGGAGGAGAAAACTTCATGCAATAAAGCAAAATCTTTATGAAATCGGTGGGCATTGTCCCAGTTTTGGACCACATACTGCTTTTCGATAACACTTTCTATAACACCACCCAACGGCCAGCGACTAAGATGCTGACAATGTTCCGAAAAATGGATACGCATGGATACAACGTGCACGTCATGGCCATACAGTTAAAACTGACAAATCAAGACTTGGCGGAGCTTTTAGACGATTCAGACCAACGATGGATCGCCAAAGAGGTTGGGTAAAGTCTGCTACTTAAGGCACAAGCAGCACATGGATCTGGAGGTAGATCAATGTTTGGTGAGACATACAACCGCTCAGGCTACAGGAAACTTAGTCAATTGATGGCCCTACGACACTTGAGCTAGCACACGCCTGATGCTTCGATAGAGAAGTAGTCCCTGAATCGCAATCACATCTACGATGTTGAAGAAACAGTATCTAAAATTGACGTGTCAGCATTCTTGACTTCCAAAGACAAAATTAGCAAGGACTTAAATACTACGACACCAAATGAGCTGGGGGTTATATGAAGACACTTATCGCGCGCATTGGGTCAATTATCAATTATCTTTATACCGCTTACAGGGATCTAAAACACCGCCTTTGAGAGTGTCTTGTATACTATGTATTATAACAGTAACTGAGGCATATTGAGGCTGATATCCAAATCCTCGAATATTGAAGGAAAGAATCGAGTTACGCTAATAACATTGTATCAGCGGATGCAAACATCTCAAGATGCCAGGAAGCGTAAAGAACTCGGAAAAATATCCAGTATTGGATTCGCACTTGTATCGTCGCTTCTGTAGTACCATACCATACATTGGCTGCACAAAATTGTGTCTTCACATGACCTCATCTTCTTCGAATCAGGACCAGATCCACCAAGTTACGACGCTGTAAAACCATATTTGATTGGCTTCGATTACAGGCGCCTTAAACAGTCGAACGATTACTCCTTTGGTACTATTTAGTACGATGCTGAAGCTCTGCCAACAAAATATCAATACCCCTCGCATCACGTGAGAAAGGAAAAGTTTTGCGCTGCATTGGGCTGATTCAGCTTAGTCTCTAGAAAGGCCTTGACGAAGTGATCGGTACGTAAAGAGCACTGCTGGTTGACTGCAGTGGTTACGTCGAACGCCTAAAGAGGAAGGCCCCGCCATCACATCATCGAAGAATGGATAAACGATTTGCAGAATCAATCGATGCCTATTTAAGTTTTTCCTTTGACTCTGAATAGGCGGAAGATGAAACGGAATTAATAAGGATGTTCCAGTGTTTCAGTAGAGTGCTTTGCGAGTGCTAAACAGTGGTTGGTTATGGATTTCGAATCACGGATCATCATCGTTATGATCGTAATCCTTCCACATTTGATTTTCCCATCAGTGAAACAGCAACAGGGAATTCTGGTACTTACAATCATTCAATGTTAGTTTGCGTAGTATGTACACGCGTATGTATTGTGGCATGAAGAGTAAAATTAATACAATAGGTAGGCATATTGCAGCCGCGATGATTATGAGGTACTTATGGAATTTGCAGTTTGGGATGTTGGGCACAACGTCATGGTAGATATAGACAAGGTTCAGCTCCTTCTTCATCACATACAAATAGGTGGCTGCACTGGTGTGATGTTATCCAACAATGCACGCATTTCTATTGGCAGATCCGCCCTAGTAGCCGCCATTATTTTTGAACTGGTACCTCAATAAAATCCCACACAATGTCCTCAGAGCTCCAATCCATAATCTTAACTTTCTGTTTGGGCCCATTCTTGGATTCGTTCGCAAATACGCCCAAGGGGCGAAGATGGTCATCGTGACGTACTAGCAGAACGTACCCACCTTCTGGGCGCATTCGGGGAAATATGCGTTCGTTATTTCGATGATGAGGGAATCTGCAAAACAGAATTCCATGTTCTTGATAACCAAGACAGTGCGCAGAAGCTGGATCCTTAAACCCTAACCAACCTTTTTCCTCAACGCACCGCCACCTGAAAGTGCCAAGCCCTCCTATATTATCCATTACGACCTCGCCGTCTAAGAATGTGATGACTTGTCCGTTTTTGCGAGATCGAATGATGAAGGCTCGCCCAGGCCATGGGATAGAAGATTGTGAGATTTCGTTCCTCGAAGCGTTCTGTGTGGTATCTGCGGAAGATGCAGAAGGCGTAGGAATATGCCACGTTTCAGACCCAATAAAAGAATGAGCTGTATGTTGATCGTGCGCCATGTTGTCGAACACTGGTTTCAATGATCTTTCGCGATATGTGGGAATTGTGGTATTTAGAAGGAGACTGAAAGAGGGATGTCCTTATAAAGGATTGTCGATGAACGACGTGTAGTCTGGGCGGACAGTCGAGGCGCAGTCTTCATTTGTGCTACTACCCCGCCGAAGTGGAGCGGCGAATCAACGTGTGTTTGTCAGAATTGTTTAGCGCCAGCCTTGCACTAATCATTGTAAGGTTACGGAGCAAGCGGCTCGCACTAGGCTTGTTCGCCTAAAAACTCTCTAAAAGACACCGATAAGGAACTCAGGGATAGCCTAAAATATTTCTTGAAAAGTCTAACAATTAATCTTTCTGGACTTATGAGTATCATTGTCTTTTATATAAGTATTACTACTACTAGAGTTTATAATCATAATTTGTGAGATGATCGCTCAGCTGAACTACGCTACGCAGCCTAAAGAGATATATACACCCCATAGCAGTATCTGGAGCTAAATTGTATATACATATGATACTCTGAGAGTAAGCCTTCCTATGCCTGTATTTCAGGGTAAAGTGATAGATATATGAATTTTTCTAAGTACTACAAGGTTCGACACTACTTTAGAGATACTTCGTGTACGTTATTAACTGCTTCAAAGCCTATCCGTGATTCTAGTAGGTCTGATTACAAGATTCTTCTCGCTGTTTGTGTCAACATTACGATCAAAATCGTCAATTTGCTGCTCCAAATCCGTTTTCACGTGGATAGTGCGCGGTAGTCCCGTGTAAGACTCGGACACCACATTTCCACTGCGATGATGCAGTTCAACCTCATCTGAGATAGTGCCAATACTGCCTTTGCCCTTGAGTTTAACAAAGGACGAAGAGTCCTTGGGCGTATCCTTTGTTCCTCCGTACGTGCTCTTGCGGCTGCCGTATAGAGTCGCAAATCTAGGAATAACTTTGACGACTAAAGGTTTCAAAGCTGGCGCACAAGCACAAACAATACCTAAGATAATAAGCGCGGTTCTTATATGCTTGAAGATTTCAGCTTACCTAAATTTACCTCAATAGAACTCCAGTAGGCTGGCGCAGTTCCATAGAAAGTAGAGTCCTCAGGGTGTTTTGCAAGTTCAATAAAACCATGCAATCGGGCAATAGAGATGATGCAAACACTTTGCCGTATCATTTAGCACTATGATGTATAAATATAAGAAGTTAACTTACCACCAGCCGAGGGTTAGGATGCACATGAGGGCGATCCGTTGCTTCCGTGAAACCTGAAGTTGCCATATCGCTCGTACAGGGAGGGCTGCAACGAGAATGTCGGTAACAATGTTCATAGCGGCACCTGCGAAGGAGAAGCTGGAGACTGGTTAGACCAAATTTTTAATTGTCTTAGAAATGACACCTACGCATTTGAATTGATACATGCTGCAGTTTCCTTTTCACTGATATCCCAGAATGCAGATACAGGGATGCAAGAGAAAACCAGAACAAGCGATGCACTAATGCCAGTTGCTAGGCAGATGGCTCCGACAATGTAAATAGGTATTCTCATCGACGTGAAGGCGAAAATACGACGGTACTGTAGAAGTATCGACATTTTTGTGAGGGTGAGGGCGTTGGCATACATCAAGATGCTTCCATACAAGTACTGGCTATTGTCAAGTCGTAGTCATTATGGATTGATAATGTATCGTACTTTCAATGTCGTTTCTATCTGTGGTAGTGTCAAGAACATCATGTGTTTTGAACCTCCATGTTTAGCTCCTTTACTTATTTAGTATACGGAACAAGCACTATTAGAGACTGAGTTGTACCTTCTATTTGGAATACAGCCATGGCAATAGCATGCGCCTGAATTCATCAGTGATATGTAATTGGGCTGTCATGTGCAGAGTCGTACAAATGATAATATGATGCAGTAATCTTCGAGACCAATGTTACGGATGATGATTGAACGTGCATAGATTCGTAGGCAAACCAAAATACAGCCGATCGCAGTGAAGACGGAGACGATGGAGATGATCAGAGGGCCGCCGTCCTCCCCTTGCAATGCAGCGAGCTGCTCTGGGGTCCACTGTGGTGATGAAGGGTTGACCATCATGGGAGCACTGCAATGGTCGATTTGATTCCCTATGTAGCAGGGCCGGGTCGACGCAATTATTAAGTAATGCACAAGAGAAAAAACTCAAAACTTCTCAAAGTAGTATAGTAGAATCTAAACAACCCTAGGGTCCTCTTTCAACATGCATACCGATTGCGTGGTTCCAGATACGCTTCAAAGTTTAACCGTGCCCACAGCGATTAGCTGGCTGTAGTCCTGGGTAAAAGACATGGTCCCCTTGCATGTTTCCATTATCCCATAGGCTAACCGTCTCAAGACGGAGCGCGAAAATCCCGCGATGAGAATTTAGTGCCGCCACCATCAAGCGGGCCTATGGCGGGAACTTGAAGCTCTTGCACTTGGAAAGATTATCCGGAATGAGGCACACACTAGCTCGGTCATGATGATGCAGAGGTGTAAGTTGCACAGCACCAGTTCCTATAACAAGTTGTATAACGTGAACGCGTCAATCTACTCGACACAGATGTTCAACTTTCTTGTTTGTGACGGTGGGAAATGAATGAGATGCAATAGGGTTAGGTGAAGTCCGCGGCAGGCCTTAAAGGATTCCTGCGCAAGGAATGGTGTATGCGCGAAAAGAGGGGGGTGTTTGTGCGTGTATGTACATGAAAGGGGTTCTTAGTGTCTGTGGTCTGATGTTGGGAGATAATCTGGGGAACAACACGGACTTAGGTTCCCGTGCCTAGATTGGCTATATGGATCTAGGCTAAATCCTTTGCAGCCCCAACGCTCCAGGCTACGGAAATAACTCATGAATATGGCTGAGAGTGCCTACAACCTTCTTTGTTACCTAGAACCTTATCATTATTCAATGTACATTTACTTGACGACAGCTTCATGAATTACTCTCCGCGCTCCAAGTCATACGTTTGGGCTATAACTAAGTCAGCCGGGTGGCTTAGTCAACCCATTATAGCGATTATATTTTGCATCGCGTTAGCGGTATGTGGCGAAACGAACTCTGATAAGTGATGACTTCTAACAAGCTCTAGTGCGGCCAACGTCTAGGCCTCCAATCTGGGTGCGATTCTAGGGACTCTGAGCCGTAGATTATGATTGGCCTAGACTAGGAACTTCTAGGAGTTTCTGGGGCTGTGTACCCTTCATTGGCTGCCCAAAATACGATGGCGTACTTCGCCACCTTTCAGGCACAAGTGATCGAGGCACTCGCCTGCATCCTTGCAGTGTATTAAGGTTTGCCTGGATTGTATGTGCTTGATGCAAGCTGTCGCATCATTCGGGTGTGCATTCCGCGACAGTTTGCATTGCGCATACAGACCAGTATAGCAAAGTAGGTGTGACGTATAGGATAGAGAACGATCCACCATAACAAGGCGTGCTGAACAGAATACGATCAAGTATCCTCATGAATGTTCGCATAGCTTTTACACCGCAATCATCAGCTACATTGACATCTACCGTGCTCCACCACTACTAGCTAGTTTGAGCGCATAACAGCGCATCTCGAATGGAAATACTGTTCCACCTCTACTCTTCCCTGTTTCAATTTTGCTGATAAGAGGGAAGTGTTATTTGCAAAACAAGGAATGAATAGTAGATACATATGCAATCGCCGTCTGTCCTATCTTGGAGTGGGCTTTGAACCACAAACAACAGATTAGTTGCCGAGGGCAAATACGATTTTCCTTTCCGATTAGGAGCTATCTGAACTAGCATCCGCATTGTCACATTGGTTGCACATTGACAGGCTATGGTCTCAGATAGACTAGGCTCGGAACCCCGGGCGGCCTAAATCCACTCGCTAAACGGGCCGACAGAGCAAAACGGGTTAAGGGTGCGCGATGGTACCATAGTACAGCAAGAGCAGATGGAACGATCGCAGCCTAGAGTAAAGGGATTTGAGAAAAATAGGTGTCGTCTGCATGGCTGAAACATACGACCTAGCAGATGAAGTGCTTGTGCTGGATAACACGTTGCAGAAGAAGAGCAGACGCATTAGGACTATCGAGCTGAATAGGCGCGTCAGAAAAGCGCCTTGGTCTACCAGAATATGGACCCTACAAAAGGGTCGTTTGAGCTAGTCTCTATATTCCCAATTCCACGGTTGTGGCATACGATGTTTAGGGAATGGCCGGCTTCTTCCAACTCGAAGTCGTAGTTCTTGCTGCATGCATATATCTCCGACACCTAGTCCTACCATAAAATCCAGTTACCTTATCACCATCTGGTCTTAGCTCCCTCTTGAATCCATGCCTGATACACTCCAATGATCTCCGTGTGACATCTACTCACGAAGTTGCATGACTGCTATGCCTATATGAATCTTATACCGCTCACGAGGTCATGACAGCGCCTTGGCATGCTGTAATACCACGTCTTTCCGGTGACTCGAGCTCCTCTCCGGGTACGCTCAATCTTGACTCCCCATTCGCAGCAATGAAGAGGCCTCCTTCGAAATTTCCACACGTTGATGCGAGATGGTTTTCGAGACGGGACTTGGTATTGGGAGTACGATTAGAAGCGAAAGATTTCTATCAAGACATTATGAACCGATGAAACTTGGGGCTCACCACGGCGTGCGAGGCAACGTTTAAGGTGCCCAGCTGTATACATCCTGCCTGTCTTCATGCACCGGTACTAAATCAAACGACTCTTGTCCATAGAAGTCCCGCCTATTATAAGTCTAATTTACTCACAATCCTCTTCTTCATCACAGACTTCTCCATCCCAGAAAGCATACTCTACACCCACCGTTATTAATGACGAAATAGCTGAAAGCACTAGGGAAGCAGTCCTTGCAACTATCGTGGCGGTCGGCACTGAGGCACCTGTTGGGTTGGGAGCAGCGGCAATGACATACGTGATGGCAGGGGCGGGGTATGCCTCTGCTAGTGTTTGTGGTACCGCTAATGCGTGAGATAGTACTGGTAACAACGCAAAACCCACGTCGTTCATTTCTTGTTTGCAGTCATCCTCGCATTGAATCAAGCCGAAGTTCTCCAGCAGCTCCTCATTTGTGGCTCGACATGAACAGTTGCCTGTGTTAACAAAAATTTCGCGAGGATCAAGCAAGCCTCGCTTCGTCAGGCCAGTCGGTGGCTTGCCATTTGTGATCCCGGGCAGCGGTGCCTGCGCGTATCACGCTCTTGAGGGTCTTTTGTGAGTGTTGCCCGCGCGTTGGTACCATGGGTCAGTCCAGAGCACTGCAAAGCATTAGATGTGATTATGCGTACAAAAATATACATGCGGATTGGCTTACAAGCAAAATTAGGGTCGCCATCAAGATCCTTTGGGTAGCACGGATTCTGGGCAAGGCCATCATCCCGTATTTGAGCTGACATACTGGTGAAGTCCATCTGCATAACAGTCAAAGTTCTCTGAGCTGTCAACTCATAATGTTCAATCACCAGGAATGATTTTTAAAGAGACAGTGGAAAATTCTGCTTCCTTGCGTACGAACCTTGTTGCATGCTTGTTCAACTGAGCGTAAGTGCTGTCTGGTGCTACGAGTGGAGACTTTGGCAGGACACATCCCTCTTCATAGACTTCCAGCTTTGCCATTAACGTCTCGAGGGCTGAGACGAATCCACTGGTTTACGTTTCGACCTTCCCATATAGCCGGCGGAGGCCCTGAAAGTGTCAATTTCTGCCTTCAATATTACTTGGTTATAGAAGGCCACTTAAACTCGTCGCGCTGACACACCGGGGTTCAAGATCGTTGAGAGGACCGGCATCCATCCAATTATGTATCTAACTAACATCGTGTTGACCATTGTACTGCGCTACTACCGGTCGGAGTGGCCCACCAAAGATAGGATCTAGTTTATCCTTGTAATTTAATGACACGTAGCCTTTGGCTTGTACTCTGATGGCTGAGCTGTAATGCAGGCAAGCCTAGCCCTCTGTAGCGAAGTCGCACTTCTTTTTTTTGACGACTTTAACATCGCGTGTGAACGAAGTGGTTGGGACGGTCAATCTCATCCCTTGGGCTTGCTTCTGGATTCTTCTGCTACACTTGCCATCACGTCCCAAAGGTTTCGTTGGAGTTGCTGGTCGTTCGCGATCTTTTTTAGGGCTCAAAGGTTTGTTAAGCTTAACGTCGTAATCTTTGCCGCGAAAGTTAAGAGACATAGTCTTAGTAGAATGCTAGTAGTTATATAATTCTTACTCTATAAGAGCTATTCTACTAATAGTAACTTAGGCAAGCTCTTTACCTACTTATAGTTAGTAACTAGAGATGAATTCTTCTATATATTACTCACACTTAAGGCTCTACTCTAATACTTAAAGGAGATATTAGTAAAAAGATAAGAGTTTACTCTTATATAATTTCTAATTTATGCCTAGATTCTGACACGTAATTAGAACATTGTTAAGCGCGCCCTAGGTCTTCCTATAGTAGTTATTGTAAGCTTACTAATGCTCCTTGGAGATGCATCTTGGTGCTAGGGCTGAGCACCTTCTGAAGGCAACAACATAAAGCTCACAGCGCTTCACCACGATTATCATAGCGTTACCTCTTTGACAGCATTCAATTATTTCTCTTGCAATGTTAACAGACCTAGACTGCGTTCGTCTATACACATCGCGTCCGATACATTCAGCCTCGCGGAGCATTCGTGTTCTCCAGGTCCACGCACAACCAGATAATGCAAAGGATGACGATATTATTGAATGCGACCTGTCCGTCGTCGATCTAGATGCGCACCCTCATTTCGCAGCGCTTTCGTATGTCTGGGGTCCTTTTGCTACTGGGTCCCACCAGCTTTTGTGCGATGGCGTTCACCTAACCGTCACGGAGAATTGTCACTCAGCCTTATAGCATTTGAGGAAGAAGCTAGGTAGCTTCTCCATTTGGATTGATGCTGTTTGTATTAATCAAGAAAACGTAAGAGAGAAAGAGCAGCAGATACCGCTGATGGGAGAGATATATGCCAATGCGCATGAGGTGTATATCTGGCTGGGAAAGGGTAGCTCAGCTACTAAAAGAGCAATGACATATCTGGCCGAGGGAGGCTTGAAGAGATACTACCCGGTTCTTACGTATTCTGATGTGGACAACCCCGTTCAGTCAAGGCTATTGAGTGCGCTGTGGAACTGTCATGTACATCGTTATAGCGCAAAGAGTGGCAAAGTGCCAGGATATCTCAATATCACCAGTGAGTTCAAGTCATGGCTCTATCTAATGCTTCAAAGTATGATAATAAAGACCCAGACGGCCATACATCATTCATGAGATTTCCATTTCGAATTATGAGGACGGCTCGACGAAATTTCTTGGTATCTGAGGACGATATCGAGGAACTCTTAAGCTGTACATGGACAACTCGCATCTGGAAATATCAAGAGGTCATACTTGCTTCTAGGCCGGTACTGGTGAGCGGCTTAGACCATCTACCGTGGGAGACATTTGTATATTCCATGGCCCTCCTCAATGAGACAACTACAATGCCTTCCATTGGCCAATGGACAGAGATCATAACGAGTCGAGAACACTATCGTGGCACACCAAGAGCTGCTATGGTCAAAAAACTTACGGCCTATAACCAGTTTGTCTCAACCTTCGTAAAGGTGGATTCTTGGTTGGCAAGAGAACTGCTGTGAGTAACTGCGTCATTGGCACTGATACCTCCAGCCGGAGCGCTGCTCTATGTTGTCTCGCCTACACAGCTCGACATTGCGGTTGGGGCATTGATAGCACTCATCCTACTGGTAGTAACTCTACTTGTCTGCCCCATAATTTTCGCAACGAAGTTATTCTTACAACGTTCAAAATCCGGCGTATTGGGCGAGCAGTGTGGCGAATTTGAATCGTCTTTGAAAAATCGGACGAACTAAAGCTTGCTGAACAATATTTGTTACCGGCAAGCCACAGATCCACGCGACCTATGCTTTGGTATCCTACCGATGCTCTAGCATAGTTCGATTGCTATGCGATTCACGTTAGACTACTCAGTCGATCTCCCGCTCCTCTATACACAACTGGCAAGCTTTTTCTTGGAGGATTGTGAAGAGCCGAACATCCTAGCACTCGCGGCCCAAGCGAAATGCCCAGGCGCATCTTCATGGGTACCAGATTTCTCCGTGCTCCTTCGGCCGACTTCACAGAGTACTAGTCAACACGTTAATTCAATGCATACGTCAGCGGATGTCGTTAATCAAGTTGTTGACCATCTTCGCCAATTTGCGACACGATCAGCATTCCACTACACAATTACTCACGTATCAGATTTCGTCAACACGCAGCGCTTGACCGGCGACGCACGGGAAGCGGGCGAGCTACACAACGCAAAATGCATCATGCAGAACCCGTTCCAAAACGAGAGACTTCTCAAACTCTACGATACGAAGAACCTCCGCAAGAGTGAATTGAGTACTTAAAAGCCGATATGGACCCAGGTGTTTAGAGAACACTTCTCGCAGCAGGCGCTCAAGATTACCACTCATCGCATGGCAGAGTACGATGCTAGTATTTTACGTTGCGCCGGGGATCTAGGTAGTTTACTTGTGCATCTTGCCGCGAACCATCTTCTCGATGTCCACAAGGCTGTGTGTGACACATTTGCGACATCAGATGACCTCTTCTTCATTACTGACGTGCAGCGGGGCGTCACGAAAACCGAGGTGGCAATCACCCAACCATACGGTGTTAGCTCATCCTTACCCGTGCACGAAGAAATAAATTTTCGCTGTCTAGGATATGTAAGCGGCCAACAGCAGGGACAGCTCCAGGAAGGCAATAGTGTGGTTCGTATCCAGGGTGTCCGGGACCACTTGGTGTATCGAAGTTTGACGAAAGCGCTTGTGGCGCGCTTGTCGACGCATCAGTCACTTAATTTGAAGTATACGGACATTAAGGTTGAGAGATTATTCCCAACTATGGAAATAGTAATTGAGTAAACGGATTTGCAAGCTAGGTGGTTAGAACACAAGTAGCGACACTCTACATGACTACCATGCCCTTAGTATTAGTAGTGTAGCGAATGTTAACGCTGAATGCTTATAGCCGTAGAATAGCGTCTGTATGTATAAGCAGTCTATTATAGATATATAGTTAGTACTATACACGAGTAGTATATAACGTAAAAGACCACTGAGCTGGACACTTTTTCTTGGCATTGCGAACGTCATGTATAAAAACTTAAATTACTCTATACTAGCTATAGATGCGTTGTACGACTTACTTATATCTAATAAAGAATCTTCCTCTATATCTTTTTATCACGTATAGGCGTTATAGCCTACTCTTCTATAGGTTCTATAGTGCCGTTAACTTAGTAGAGCTCTTTCTTAACTACCCCTACTACGCGCCTTCTTTAATGTCGTATAACTAATAGAAGTAATTTTAGCTACCTGCGATGCCCCTATACTAAAGTCTAGTATCCCGCCTATCTAAATCTGCTTTCTTTTACGCCCTTAGCGCTTTATTACTTTAGCTAATTACTCTTTAAGTTCTTATATATAGGCCTCTATAAGTATATTCTTATATAGTATCTCTTTAGCTCCTTTAATAAGATTTAAAAGCTTTTTTATATAGTAGTTAGTAATTATATAAAAGACTCTTTTATAGTTAAGCTTTAACTATAATCCAAATTTATATAAATTGCTTAGTATTCTTAACGTCTAGGGGATTTCTAGCTAAGCTTCTTATAGTAGGGTATAAAGACGTATATTAAAGCGATTAGTAACTCTCTACGCGTTAATAGGAACTAGCTCTACTATCTTAAAAGTCTTCTTATAGTTATTAGACGTAAATATATTAAAAAATACGTCTTAAAAGGCTAATAGAAAGCGTTTCTTATTAATATACTAGATATAGTATGTAGTATACTAAGTCTTATACGCGTTAGAAGTACTTCTACTTAAGAGGTAAAAAGTAGATAATATTAAGTAGCTAAAGTATATATAATATATAAGTAGGTATATAAAGAGTAAGAATCTTCTATATAAGATAGTAGTTCTTAAATTCTTAGTTTAGATAGCTCTTATAGCTATTAAGAATAAGTAGTCTATAAAACTCTATCTAATACGTCTTTATATACTTATTAAAATGCTTTAACTACTTAAGACTAAGCGCGTTATTTATCTAGCTGTTCTTTAATACTAATAGCTTCTAATTATATAGTATATTTACTTCTTTATACTAAGTAGAGATATAGATATATTCTTTATAAATAATAAATAGTAAAGTAGTATATTTTATAGCGTAGATACTCTAAATAACTATAATCTACTTATAATTACTTATCTATATAAGAGTAGATCTTATATAATACTCTACGCCTATAACTACCTTTATTAAGCTAATTACGCCTATCTAAAAGCTAGTTTTATTAACGTTATAGATATTATCTAAATAAACTCTATACTTTTTAATTATCTTTTATATAAGCTAAAACTATATATTAATAATATCTAGATCTTTTTAAAAGACTCTCTAGTGGTTCTTTACTTAATTTAAGACTATCTTAAGCTCTACTATACGTAATATAAATTACTCTATCTAGTTCTTACTAATAGATATTACGCCTTATATAGCTAATAGTTTATTAGCTATATTAGATACTTTATATAGTCTAGAGATAAATCTATACGCGTCTAGATTAAGAATATATTATATAATTATTTACTCTTTAGTTATAGTAAGCTTATAGTAGTTTAGAGGTGCCTAGGGTTAAAAAGTAATCTTCTTAAGCTAATCTAAAAGTCGCTAAAAAGGTACGTTATAGGTAGTGTAAGGGGCTGCGCTCTAGGGAGCAATCGCGAGGTATACAAGAGGTTGTATTCGATGAGGAGCTAAGCTCCCAAGCTACGTAGCTGTCTATATACAAGCTGGTTACCCGAGTAACAATCGGACCGGTGAAGTCTAGGTGCACGAGGCAGCTTCTGGGTCCTGCGGCTGTCGTCTGAACGTCGTTCGGGCGGTGCGCAGAGAATCCGGGTGCTCGAGACAGCACCCGGGTTCTGCGAGTAGGCCGAGATTCCATCGAGGAGCTATCCAAAGGGCGTTCAGCCCGTTACAATACCCCCCTCCTTAGGGTGATACCGCATCGCCTCTCCGAAACCCTTCCGGGAGGCGGCCCTCGCTGTCTCGTTTGGTCTCTGTGAACGCTTCCCAACGATCTACTGCCTCAGCGTCCTCTAGTAGCTCCGCTGGTTCGAGCGTCGTTCGGTGGAACCCTTTCCACTTCACCTCGTAGTATAGCTTACGCCCTCTCCTACGGCGGCGTACCTCTTCTGCTATAATGTCCTCTACCTCCCATTCGTCTTCTCCGTCTACCTGCAGCGGCTGTGGCTGATAGTCATCCTGAACCTGGTTCGGGAGAGGATCGTTGCTAGCGAGCTTTAATCGGTCGACATGAAAAACAGGGTGCGGTCCTGGCGGCGTGTCTAGTTGAACTGAGTGGCTATCGATTACCTTAACCACTGTGTACTTAGCGTTCTTCCAGTCGAGCTTCTTAGAGCTTCGCCCTGTGCTATACTGCTGATCGAGCTTCAACCATACCTTATCGCCTACTCGGTAGCTCTGTGCCTCTCTCCGAGTCTTATTCGCCTGTCTCTCCTGTTCTTGTTGAGCGACTGCCATTCCTGCTTGGGCTAGTTCTACAGCTTGCTGTAGTTTGACCGCGATCTCTGCCGCTTTCTGCTCGTCCGAAAGCTGTTCGGCTGGTTTCCGCTGTCGTCTTTCATTTCCTAGCTCTAGCTGCAGCGGCTCCACTTCGTGCCCGTGCTGAAGGAAGAATGGTGACATGCCTGTTGACGTTGCGTTTCTGCCATTGATGGCGATCTGGGCCATTGGGCAGAGTCGTGCCCAGTCGTCCTGAGCCCAGTTCGTGAAAGATCGGATATAGGTCTCCCAGACGCTGTTCATTCTTTCCGTGGCGCCATCGGTTTGTGGGTGGTAGGCAGTTGACAGTCTTCGTTTAATCTTTAGAAGCTCACATAGTCTCGCCCACAGGGCGCTCACGAATTGGCTGCCTCTATCGGAGGTTATGGCATCTGGTATCCAGTGGTACGCAACTA